TCTAGAAGAGTGTAAGACCTAGAGGGTATAGAGGACACCTAGAAAACAAAGCCCTCTAAATTATCATGGTTGATGCACATAGGAATTCACAGAGACTGCAGCAACATGCACAGGGTCCACTTGGGTCTGCACCATTTGGGATCCTAGAACTGAAAGGAGAAGTGGACACATGGCCCAACACAGAAGCATCTCCAATTGATAACTACTTGCAAATAAAAACTTAGTTTCCTCCAAGGATGTCTCACTGGGAAAATAAACTACTTTTAAGGGAAGGCTGCATGCCCAGCAAAAAATAACCAACTTAAAATGAACTCAATAGCAGTTTGGGGGTTGCTTGTATTGTAATGTCACCTCTTATATAATTTTATCTTTTTATTTTTATTTTCTTCTCTCTTTTTACCCAACAATATTTTGCATATATATTATTGCTTTCAGTTTAGTGTTTTTAAGGGATTCCTGGGTGTGCAAATGAGTGGGTCTCAGTTTCCTGTGCTTTCCCTTGGCCTCTTTTCCTTCTGTTTGTTTTGTTCATTTCTGTTTTATCTTATTATATTTTATTAGTATCCCAGAGGAAGCCTGTTTGTTTTCTAATGAGAGACAGAAGCAGGGGGTAGATATGGATGGGAGGGGATATAGGGATGATCTGGGAAGACAAGAGGAAAACCATTAACAAGATGTATTATGAGAGAAAAAAACCTATTTTCAATAAAGGGAAGAAATAAAAAACAAAAGAAGTAAGTAACTTTCAATGACTTAAACATCAAATAATAAACCTAGGAGGTGAGCCTGCGGAATGCATGACAACTGAAATCGTACAAATGTCAGTGTACTGTAGGGTATGTGAATACCCCACTACACAGTGTGATCAGTAGCAAAGACAATGTGAACAACAGAAAACAAAGGCAAACGTGAATAGTTTCTGCTCAGGATGAAATGGATGCCAATGCTCTGTTAGCACCTGGCCTCATTTTCACACATTCTGCCTTTAGCTGGTTTCTTTGCAGGTGTTCTCTGTGTGTCGTAATGCTTCAGAAGGTATCAATATGCTTTCTGCATGGGACACATGCAAGGTATGTCCCCATGTCAATGTGTCTCCATGCACTACTGCAATTAAACCTTTAATTCTGTTTTATCCGAATAGAGAAATCTACCTGAAATTCAACACATCACAGAGTGTATGCGGTGTTTGGAATATTCCTTTACACTGTGTGAATATATGTCACTATGATTGGTTTAATGAAAAAGCTAAATGACCAGTAGCTAGGCAGGATTTCCAGGGCAAAGAGAATGCTGGGGGGAAAAAGAGGGAGACATATAAGATGCAGACTGAGCAGGATGGGTCGTATATAGATGAGGTAAACAAGCCTCTTGGAAGTACAGAGATTAATAGAAATGGGTTAATTTAAGTTATAAGAGCTGGCTAAAAAACAAGCCTAAGTTATCTGCTGAGCATTTACAATTAATAGTAAGTCGTCTCAGTGTGGTTATTTGGGAGCCAGCTGGTAGGACAGATCTGACTGCTACGACACAGAGAAACCCACCTACAGTGTGACCAGGATTGTTATCAGTTTTCTGAAGGGCATTGTGAGCTAGCCTTTAGTTAGCTCACTCATCCCATTCACTCAGTCCCTGGCTACCTTTATGACTGCGTGTAAGTAATTATCACCTAGCATATTCCTTTCCCAAAAGATAGCAATTTGTGAAGTAGCTCAGTGATTTGTAGAAGTAGGATGTTTCTGAGTTCCAAATAAAGAAAATAGGAATTATAAATGCATATATATCATAGTCTTGGTGTATATAGCCACCAAATGCAGAATGAAAATACTCAGAAAAAAATAACTAAATTTCTCCTTACTATATTATATTCTAAATACTATAGTATTTAGAAATATTTATTATAATAAATTCACTATTATTAATTAGATTGTATTATATTACAAAAGTAATAATAATAAATAATATATAAGTATTTCATTTCTAAATAATATACTATTTATAAATATATTTCAGTTATTTTACATTGTATCACATATTATGAGTGATTTTTTTTTTGGTTTTTCGAGACAGGGTTTCTCTGTATTGTCTTGGAGGCTGTCCCAGAACTCGCTTTGTAGACCAGGCTGGCCTCGAACTCACAGAGATCCACCTGCCTCTGCCTCCTGAGTGCTGGGATTAAAGGCATGTGCCACCAACGCCCGACTATTATGAGTGATTTAATGATTTTAAGTAATAAGCTATACATAAAATGTATGCAAATTCTATACAATTTTTCACAAAGGGACGTGAGCATGTGTAGGCTTTCATATCCTAAGGAATTCTGGAACCAATCCCCTGTGGATGTACTTACAACTAAAACCAGAATATGGTGTTCTCCTTGTACTAACTTGATTGGTAATAACAATAATATATACCCACCTCATACTCATATAATCAACATTTCATAAAGTGAAGAGCATTATAACATCATACAATTAAATAAAAGAACAACTTGCAACCTCGAGTTAAGACATAGATATTTACGTTGAACAAATTTAGCAACAATAAAAATCAATCAAGCAGTGGTATTTTCTGACTTCTGTAAAGATCATTGAAAATGCAGATAGCGGGGCTGGAGAGATGGCTCAGAGGTTAAGAGCACTGACTGCTCTTCCAGAGGTCCTGAGTTCAATTTCCAGCAACCACATGGTGGCTCACAACCATCCATAATGAGATCTGGTACCCTCTTCTGATATGTAGACATACATGGAGGCAGGATGTTGTATTCATAATAAATAAATAAATCTTTAAAAAAAAAAGGAAAATGCAGATAGCAACCAGGGACCACTGCTTTCTCTAGCTCTCCGTCACACTCTATAATAGATCCTTCTTCCTCTTAACTCTTGTCCTCATCTCTCTTCTCAAGCCAAAACCCTGCCATCAAAGTCACAGACACAAGCTAACCTTTTTGTGCAGATCTGCAGCATTTCCTATGTACCCCGAGTCCAGGCTTGCTCCCCAGCTGTGTACTACTCCTTGGAGGAAACCCAGGCAACCTCCTGCTGTTTCCCAGGATCCCAGGCAACAAACATCTCTGTATCTGCTGCAGTGACCTAGAAAAACGGCTGTGGCCATCGCCTCCAGCCAATATGCGAGTCTTGAAATATTTCCAGAAAATTAGATTATGAGGGAAATTAAAACCAATAGTGGCTTGTTTAATTTCTGCAGTGCTCACGTTTCTGTTTTTTTGGATATCAAATAGTTATTGGACCTCTAAGCAACAGCAGTGATCGCCAGGAAACTGCCAGCAGCTTGTGGGAATTTTTAGCATTTCATACTTCACAGGAGGTGTGGTCATTAGTCCGCTGTCACTATCCCTGTTAAGAACAGACAGACAGCCTCCTCTGCAGGGCCTCCTGTCTCACCCCATTCACATCTCAAGCCTTGGTCCTTTCATTTCCCATAAATGAAGCCTCGGAAGGCTTCAACAGATGGCCAATTTCCTGGTGCTTCTGACTTTTTAAGGAAAGAAATCTAGGGGCTGTCAGGAAAGGACTGGCCTCACAAAAACAAGGACCTGACCTCAGGTCTCTAGCACTCACGTGAAAAGCCGAGTGTGACAGCGTGTGTCTGCAACCCCATGGCAGCTAAGACCGGTGGGTTCCTGGAACTCAGTAGCCAACCAGTGTGACCAAAACTGGTGAGCTCCAGGTTCAGTGAGACACCCTGTCAAAAACAGTGGCACATGCATGCAAACTCACGCATGGACATGCACACACACACACACACACACACACACACACACACACACACACTCACTGCAGAGAGAAAAAGAAGAAAAGAAGAGAAGAGAAAAGAAATCCAAACACTATTATTATGGTGAGGAGGAGAAGTCTACTCTGAGACTCTGAGGGTTCCAACACAAAGACAATGGTGCTAATGATGACAGTATGGCAGAGATTCATGCAGGGCCAAGGAACAAGGGACCCAGAGAACAGCCATCCCAGAACCCATTCCCACCATACTTCTAAAGGGCAAAGACCAGAAATGGCATTGCTGCAACTTCAAGAGAAATGATGCTGTGGAGGGGACCTCCAGATACAACCTGACAGTATTTCAGCTACTTTTGGAGCAGGTATGAGAGCCAGGAGTGAGTTGGAAGAAATGCCACTGCCTCTCTTCCTTCAGCCCTGAATTTCCCCTGCTGCTTCCTCTTGTTAGTATTCAGGCATCTGCACTGACCTGTCCTTGGGGTTCTGACAGGATACGCCCTCAGTTGCAACCACCACCTATGTATATTCACTAAGTTGCCTTTTAAAAAGGCCCTACCCACCTCCCGTCTTGCTCCATTTCCTTTTCTCCTTCTCTCTGTGTCTGCTTCCCCCTTCTCTCTTTTCTCTCTCCCCCTTTCCTTTCTCTTGCTGCTCCCATGCCCAGAAGCCAGTCTCCCCTCTCCCCTTTCCCCCTTTTATGATCCCTTCCCCTAATTAAAAAAAAAACTCTGCTTGAACCCTTTCTCATGGCATCTTTCTCTTGCACACTGCTTTTCTAAAATTACATCACCCCTTGGCAGAAACTAAGCAAAAATTCAATTGACAAGAAAACAGAAGAAACAAACTTTGAGGCAGAACATAAGAGTGGAGAGAAAATAGGTCTGATGCATGAGGATATAAGGAAGCAACTGAGAAAGGCCAGTATCACTCTCATAAGTGTGTGTGTGTGTGTGTGTGTGTGTGTTTGCTGTGACTCTTGCTCCTGAATCTTTCTTAATCCAAACCAATAACCTGACAACCTTTATTTCAAAAACAAGGACAATGGGGATGGCCTCAATGTCTACTTATCCCTCTCTTCTCTCCCATGGGTGCAGAGATGCTCAGGGCAAGAGCATCTCTTTCTTTCCAAGGAAAATATCAGCCATTGTATTTATTCGCTGAGGTTCACACCCAAAACTTTGCATAAATATCTCAGGTTGTTGAAAGGAGAGAAAAACCAGACAGCGCCCATTTGCAGTGGAAGAAGATTACCTGAGGAATGAGATGGAGCAGAGCATCCCCAGAGAGGGTGCCCACAGCCAAGCCCACGAACAGCTGTAAAATAAGACTGTAGTTCTCCTCACAGCTGTGAAAAAGGACCAGCGCCGTCCCAAGCATAGAGCCCAACGTCAGGAATGTCACAGCCACCGTGCTGTAGCCATATTCTAGTCAAAGGAGGTGGAAAAGGCTGTCAGTGCACATTGCTGTCTACTCATGCCTTAGCTAGCAGAAATTCCAAATCTGCTCTCCTACCGTAACAGTTTGTCAGGACATACAATGGTTTCTTCAGTTTTGTATGGGATGAAGGATTATTTTCATTTTTAAGGCTGAGTGAACTGCTGTGATCATCTATGGCTTGCTGTGGTCTAAATGGTTATTTCCATCCCACCCCACCCCCACCCCAATAGCCTTTGGGGGTCCATTAGGTCAGGAGAGCTCTATCCAAGAATATAAAGTAAGTGACTTAGTAAGAAATCTCCAGCAAGGGGAGGCAGTGAGCTGGTTTCATTATATGAACCGGAAAGTAGGATCCCACCACCATCGCCACCACCGCTAAACAGAATCTACCAACGCTTTGATCTTGGGCCTCTCAGCCTCCAGAACTGGGAGAGACACATTTCTGTTGTTCATAAGGCACCCAGATTATTTCACTACAGCAAAGACTAAGCTTTTGCCTGACTGTGGCTTTAAAACTGCCTCCATGTTTCTTTGTTTTGTTTTGTTTTAACATAGTTCTTTATTGATTCTTTGGAAATTTCACCTCATGCCTCCCAATCCCGCTCACCTCCCTGTCCCTCCATATCTGTCCCTCCGTATCTGCCTCTCACCCCTGCAGCATGCTCCCAAATTAATTAAAAACAAAACAAACAAACAAAACCACCTTACTCCTCCATCCTTCCAATCCCTTTTCATTCATCCTAGTGGCACTGGGAGCTTCGGAGTGTCGTGCAGTATACCCTTTTGTCCAATCAGCCCCACCCATAAATGTTCATTGCAATGAGTCATTGATCTAGTTCAAGGCCTCTGGCACACCATCATCACTGGACCCACACTGAAACTCATCTGGGACATTCTGCTGTTGGCTAAGGTCATGGAGATCCTGTGAATGGCTCAGCGGTTAAGAGCACTGGCTATTCTTCCAGAGGTCCTAAGCTCAGCTCCCAACAACTACATGCTGGCTCACAACCATCTGTAATGAGATCGGATTCCCTCTTCCTGCATGAAGGAATTCTTGCAGAGCTACCCCATGTTTTATTTAAAACCACCAAGGCAAGAAAATGCCCAGTTCACCTACCACCCACAGAGAAATGCAGGCTTCCTACCGGCAAATGCAACACCCCTCTAGGGAGACACAAGTACTGATTGTCATCTCATCACTGCAAACACTTCAAAGTCAGGGAAATGGAGAAAGAGCATGGAGCATGATTTCATTGCTGACCCGTGCTTATGAACAAACGGAGCACACACTTCAAGAGAACTTCCTTCTAACAGCTTTCAAAATTACTGGATATGTGAATTAATGATATTTTCAATAGCTAAAAGGAGTGGTTTCTCTGGGTGAAAAATGATCCATCAATATGAACAATTAATAATATAAAATTTTTACAGTCTATATTTTAGGTTCTTATAAGAATTCTCCTAACACGTAAAATTTATTTCATGTATCTAGGTCTCCAAATATTGTTTTAAAAAAATCAGCAAAGTAAGTGTGGCGGTTTGGATTGATTACCAACCTGCAGAACCTTGAATCATTTGGAAGCTAAGTCTCTGAGTGATTTTCTAGCTTAAGTGAATTGTGGTGGCACAAGGAGAAAGTGGGCTGAACTCCCAGCTTTCTGACTTTGTATGTAATGTGATCAGAGCCTCAAACTCCACCATGATGGCCTGTTCCCAGGAACTTTGAGTCAAAGCACACCCTTCCTCCCTTAACTTACTTCTCCTGGGAATTTTCTCACAGCAACTGTAAAAGTAGCCAATACGGTAAAATTTTAAGATTAGTTTTAAAAATTAATATATGAGTATGGAAAAATCAAGGAGGAAACAGAATACTTCAGCTATCAAAATTCTTAAATCTAATTGTAGTTTTAAAAGTTTTATTTTTATTGTTTTTAATTGTACACATATGTGTAAGAAGTACAGTTTACAATGAGCATTAAAGAAACCAGGGTTGTCAATCACACAGACCTATTTAACAAGTGAATGACTCCTAGTCACTTGGAATAACAGACGAAAAGTGGTCAAACAACTTGGCAATTCTTTGCTCTTCTACTAGAGGCCAGCCTCCACCTGAGTTCTCCCAAGTTCCTGGGCATTGTTTAGACCCTAATCCTGCAGGGAAAAGAACACATCCCCAAGAAAGAAGCCTCATGTACTTTGCATCTTCCACAGATGGAATCTATCCTTGTGCTAATCACAGATCCTTCCTCTAGGCCCTAGCCCTGAGCTCTGTTTATGAGCCAATAGAATTCATTCTTATTGTAAAGGTCACAGGCTACAAGTTCCACCATGTTTAAATGTGTAAGAAAATGAAACCAAGAGATCAGTTCCTGGAGGGTCTTGACCCAGTGCCCGAAGAGATGGTACTGTCCTGGGTCTCATCTCCACCTTGTGTGGATCATTCAACTTTGGGGGAGAAAGTGAGGAACCAGGCTGCCTACATTTTAGGCTTAAAACTATCTCATAGTTAAGACAAACTAGGTCCATTCCTCTTTATGATTAAATCTCTGTTTCTCAAGATTGGCTGTGCCCCTCCTAGAACCTTAACTGCAAATGCTTCTGTACTGCCTTATCCAGGAATGGCAATCATGACTTTGTTTCATAAAAGTAATAACCTTAATACAACCCTACCTTAGTTTCAATTACATGTTGTTTTCACTGACTACATGTTGTTGTCACTGACTACATGTGACTGACTGCATGTTGTTGTGACTAACTGCATGTTGTTGTGATTGACTGTATGTTGTTGTGACCACCTTGCAGTCTGTCTTTGTTTCAGGAGGCCGTTGTGACTAACTTGTCATGCTTATGTTCCAGTAACCTTGCCTATTTTACCTGCCGAATCCCCCATTTGGAAACGCCCTACTCCTGTGCTATAAAAACCTTGTCTTCTTCAAATCCAGTGCTGCCCTATCAAATCCCCTGCCTTGGGGGAAAGACCTACCAAATCCCCATCATCTAGGGAGGGGGTCCTCATAAACATAGACAGAGTGGCGTCTATGGAAGCCAAAGGCCTTAGATTCTCTGGAGCCAGAGTTACGAGCAGTTGTAAGTCATTTGACATGACTTTGGGAAAACAAATCAGGGTCCTCTGTAAGAGCTGTGCATTCTCTTTCCTGCCAAGCTATCTCCAACCCCTTGATTGTAGTCTCAAAAAAACCAAACTCTCTCTTAAAATCCATTGTAATAGAAGAATGTTGGGGGAGGAAATCATGAGGCCCCATTCCTAGCTGAAGAGCTATTGGTGGGGGTGGTTGGGTTTTTTTCAGGGGTGTAGCTGTTGGTAGGTCTCCCATACTCAGCTGGATGCCTCTACACTCATTAGCATGTGGGCAGCACTAATTGGACTCCCTGGTTTGTTTTTGTTGTTTTAAAGAAGAGAACAGGAAGTTGGGAGAACTGTTGGGGACTCAGAGTAGTGGGAGAGGAGAACTACAGGAAGCCATAAGAGGAGAACTAGAGGAAGCCATAATCAAGGTACATTTTACAGATATATGAAATTATTATAGGACAAATTATAAATATTTTCCAGAACTTAATGTTCCTTTCCTATTAAAATTGTTTTTTTCTAGAAAGTTCACCCTTCACATCAGATCATATTAATAATGCAAGGGGGGCACACAGCAATAAGCTTGAGATTTTAAGGGGTGCTTTGTTGATTCCCGGTTCTCACTTTACCAGGATAAAGAGAGTTGGTCAGAAATTGTCAGTCCTCAATCTTCTCACCTCTTCTGCTACCTCTTCATTGAGGAGCCTCTCCATAGTGGTCTAGGAGACAATAAAGAGCTGGTATTCTCAGCTTGGAAATAGAAAAACTTAGCTGCTTCATAGCTCTGTGAATATAATGAGCACTGTGGAATTATACAAACAAAATTAAAGGAGCTGGGAGCACAGGCCAAGAGGTACAGCTTGTGCTTAGCACTCACGGGGCTCTGGCTTCCTTCCTCTGTATCTAAAGAAAGGAGTGGAGATAAACTTTATGATGTGCATATTTTGCAACAACTAATTTTAATAACGTTAAGGACAGCTGGGGTGGTTATATACCTACACAGCTGTTTTATTTAATTCTAATTTATTAAGAACACAAGGATTCCCTTGTTATTAAAACATCTTGGAAGATTTCATAGCCCATCCATCCATTCCCAGCTGGGCATTATTCATGAATGCTGTTGTTCTCACCTAAATATATAAAGTTAATAGCATTTCAACATGGACAAATTCGGAGTTTTTAATAGTACCTACAAGAGACCATAAAATGTCAAAAACTCATAGGTCACGTTAGAGTCTGGATGTGCCTCACATCCTATCTGCCTTTGTCCTGTGATACTGCAGGGAAATGGATATTTCCCTAACTTCAGAGCTTTTAAAGTCTCTTTACATTCTCAGTGAGTTAGATTTTACCTTCTTTCTTGTGATGGGACAGCCTGGAAATCATAAAATCGCAGACATGTTGTGAAAGGACTGCTCCCCTCAGCCCCAGGCAGAGCATTATGCCATCTTGACTGGTGTCTGATAATTTAACAATAGGTTCTGTCTCAACATTTCCCATCATGACAGAACTTGAACTTGGCCTTGCCTAAGCAGCTCCTTAAAGCAGGTCTGAAATTTGATCTGAACATGGTCATATGTTTCCTTCCTAGAAATGAAGTTGAAGGCAGCACTCAAGGCTTGAGTTACAACCCATAGAACTCTGTTTCCTTACTAATGTCTCCCTGTGTGTCTCCCACTTTTATGCAACATTTAATTACATTGCTCTAATTAAAGCCTCCATTAATTACATAATGCCATATTTTAATCACAAACAGAGATGTCTACTAAGGCAGGTTCTTTGCTGTATATTATTAATGGGTTATTTCTAAAGATTTCCCTAGAAGAGTCTAGGAATTCATAAAAAGGAGGATAAACCATTCACTTTTTTTTCGTAGATCTTATGTTCAAACAGCTTTTCTATAAGGGACTTGGATACTCCAGGTACCATACCAGGTGTTGGGAGTATGAACATGCCCACAGGTGCTCAGAGGTACCACACCTCTGTCCTCAGCACTTGTGAGCGTCAATGAGCATACATGTTGAGTTTCTGGGATCCTCATTTTAATGAAGTCTCATTCCTCCCAGTAGCCATGAAGTTTTAGGTATTTAGACATAACATTCTTTTCTTCACAGTAAACCTTCAAATGAGCTACTAACTGCTCAAGAATCCATTGTAGACAAGTAGCTGGATAATTCAATTTTTAAATGGTAGGCATTGCAGTCTATCAGAGAGACCAAGTATACAGCTCCGACTATGTGTATTCATATATGCTCATATGTACCATATATATGGTCATATTAATGGCAGTGCTTGAAGGTTTATATTTTCTCTATGTCGTGGCTATTCTTGGTCACAATTTTGGGGAGACAGAGGTCATAAGAATGTAGAGCTTCAATGTACTGCACACATTTTTGAACACTTTATCTAATTTGAGCCTTGTGGGTTTCCTATGAAGTCAATGAGTTACTGATATTATCTCAGTGGGATCTAGGGGAATGAGATCATTGATCCCCGAACTTTCTAGAACCACTAGGCATTCATAGAAGGCTGTCATCTCCCTGGATAAGGCACCTCCAACACAGACACGCTCATGTACCTTCATTCACCCCAACATGCCTTCACGTTTCACATGTTGTAGGATGTGCAGATTGCTGAAAGCACTGTACAGTATCACCTACTTCCCGAAGAGCCAGCCCCGAGAAGTGCAAACAGAAATTGCTTAAGATCACACAGTCCCTGAGAATGAAGGATGTATCTCAGTATCTCAGGTATACATTTATGATTCTAATACTGACATGTTTTCTCTTTCATCCTGTCATTCATTTCTCAGCTATGAAGGAGTGTGAACTATGGAAGGGTTTTGTTTTCTGCTTTGTTTTTTGCTTGTGTGTGTGTGTGTATGTGTGTGTGTGTGTGTGTGTACATTTATGAATGTGGAGACTAGAATCAACATGGTGCCTTCCTCAATTGCTCTGTAATTTTTTTAAACCAGGGTCTCTCACTGAACCTAGAATCTACCAGTCTGCCTATATTGCAAGCCCCTGGGTTCCTCATGTCTCTACTTCACCAGAATTGAGATTATAGGCACATGCCACTACACTCAGCTTTTTTCCTTGGGTGCTAGGAACCCAGTTTAGGTCCCAGTGCTTGGTTCATAAGCGCTTGACTGATTCATCTTTCTTCAGACGCCAGAGGAATCATAGAATTTTAAGTTGCTTCATGATTTAGTCAAATATGAAGGCCAGAATCAATTTACATGAATTATAAGCAAAATATTTAATATCTTTGAAAATCATTTCATATGTTGGGACATAGTCATAATCCCCGACAGCATTTGGGGAAACAAAGCAGGAGGGTCACAAGTTGAAGGCCCACCTGCAACACAAAGAAAACCCCTGTCTCAAAAGTAACATTAGAAATTCACTGAAAAGCACCAGAGCAAACAGAAATATCTAGAACTGATTTGCTCAGGCTTGACTTCCAATGTCATCATCTTAGCAAGTGTGTAATTCTTAACCTGTCACCTAGCATATACATATCTGTGTTTCTATATCCATACAATGGGAATGACAGCAACCATCCCTCCTCACTATATGAAGGACTACACAAGCTGATAAACGTATAGTACTTACGGCCGCTCCTACACAGTGAGCATTCTACACTTCCTACTAGTACTGCATGCGTTGTGCACATGGTTGCAGAGCCCAGACTTACTCTCCAGAGTGGTGGGTGAAGGCTTTGCTTGCTGGTCCTTAGGCATTTGGCAAGAGCAGCTGAGTAGTTGCTGGATGATCCCTGGACTTAGCTGCTTGAAGTCCTCCTTAGAAATGGATGGACTACTATGGTTCTGTAGAAATATCTCCACCAGCTGCCTAGCAGAGAAGCAAGCCTGTATGAAGAAAACAGAGTTACAAACCCCAGCCTTCCGTCAGTTACAACAGCAACACAAGGAGCCAGAACTACACAGGACTACAACAGCTGCATGGTGACATTATCATGAGTTTCCTTGCTACCTTTGTATTGTTAACCCTTTGTTATTTTCCAAGGTCTATTTAAAAATCTGTAGTACTCTGTTTTATTCAGAGTATCATTTCATATTCCTGGCATATGTCTTTTCTCTTTCTGGTAACTACAGACTGATATGCAACATGTTGCATAGTGTTCTAACCATAGTAAGGTGACCTACTTCTCTGGAAAAAAAAAGCAGAAATATTTATTTTTAACTGACTTTACCTGGTTTTGTCTACAATTTTATGTTTTTTTCTTGTTACATAGGCATGCTTGGACAAAACTCCTAAAATATATGCAACTTGCCTTTAAAACCTGCCATAAGGTATTTTTTTATCTTAAAAGTAAAACTAGGATTGTATGAGTCAAAATCGCAACTTTAAAAGTTTTGTATGTGTGCGTGTGTGTTGTACATGTGTGTGAGCTCAAATGTGTGGACACCTGTACATTTGGGGATGCATATGCATGCTGTGTGCATGCCTACATGCAGACCTGAGGCTGACACTAGGTATTTCCTCTATCACTCTCCACCTTTAGTACTGAGTCAGGGTCTCTAAACCATGAGCTCCCCATTTCAGCTGGGTTAGCTGGACAGTTTGACCAGGGCATCCCTCATCTCCAACTCCCAAACATTGCAAGTGGGTTACTATGCCCACCAGCCTTTAACATGGGTATCTGAGCTCCAGTCCTCAGACTTGTGGGATAAGTACTTTACACACTGATACATCTTCTCAGGCCCTAAGTGTTTCAATGGGAATGGGATATACTTTTGAAATGAATGACTTTTATTGAAATAAGAACCCAGTGCCTTTGTGAACTTTAATTACAATCAGTACAGTATTTTTAGAAAAAAAAAACAATGATTTACAAGGCTGGCCTGATTTGCTATGGTGTAGGATGTAAGAATTTTTCAGTAAAGATATGTTAATCAAGAGATAATGATGAAACCCTTAGTGTTTTTCTCCCCATATTAAAATCTTTGGTGGTGACTTTGTGGGTAAGGAAGTTTTATTCTGGCCACAAAATGTTTTGGTTTCATGGAAGAGAAAACCAAGACTATAATGGAATGAGGCAAAAATATGAACAGACACATACAAAAAGAAAATCTAATGTGCAAAGGAAAAGTCAAAACTGAAACTGAAAAATTTGAACCAAAGATGCATATACATGTCTGCCCTGCACGTGAAGAACCAAAGATGCACACACATGCCTGCCCTGCATGCTAAAAACCAAAGATGCACACACATGCCTGCCCTGCATGTTAAGTATCTTCTTCTTTTTGTTTCCGTGTGTGTGTGTGTCTATTTCTTTTCACAGTATCATCCATTTAAGTGTCCACTCTAAGGTGACCTTTTAGTAAAGAACATGGAAAACACAGTAAAAAAAAATGATGCATGATGAACAGCACCTTGGGAAACTGTGAGAGAGACTCCAGGAAAAAAGACAGAGGGCCTTTTACTTCAGGTGCATTTTGTTCCCTGGATTGTTCTTAGATGTGATTTCATGCCTCCTGTGACAAGTATTTGCATTCAATTTATAAAACATGTTTGTTCTTGCTGGATGTCATAGTACAGCTATAGAACCCAATTTGGTCAGTGTTCCCTGAATCTGGATATGGCCTTCTGCCTTGCATTCATGCTTTCCCAGATATAATCTATAGTACATGCCAGACAATTGTGTTTAAATTGGTCTGTCCAGAGAAAGGGCTGCTCTGTTAATATTTAGCATATGCTTATTGGAGTCCATGTACATGTTTTTCTGATCATGCTTTTCTAAACTCAAACAACTTCCTTTGAATCATTGCTTTCTTTGTTACATTCATGTATTCAGTAAACTGAAACTGAAGTAAAATTGTCTGTAGCATTAGACTGCAGTCTGCCCCATTCTTTAAGGTCTTCAGATGCTAGGTCTCACAGACATATATACTTAGGTTTTTGGAAGTTGACAAGTTGACCCGAATCAGGAACCTGAATGAACAGCTAAGAGAGGACTCAAGAACCTCTAAAGAAGGAGGTAAACATGGATTAATATGTGGTTAAAAGTGGGAAAACCAGCACCATATATTGAGTTGATCATGTCTTGAAAAAGAGTGGTGCTGCAATGTCTGAAGACCAGATGCAAGAATGCTGGAATTTAATAGTAGGACACAATCCTTGGTTTCCTGAAAAAGGACACGCTGGATCCCAAAATATGGTATCAAATTAAAGAAAATATAGTGAAAGCCCATAGACAAGGAGAACATATTTTGGTACAATTCTGTGTAAGATGGCCATTGTACACATTGTAATACAAATGATAAATGCTAACGAGCCAAAGGATTTAGAAAAGGCTATGACAGCACCTAGCCTGAATGATGACTGTCCCATGGATAAGTACATGGAATTCCCTTTCCGTTCCCTTAGTATTCCACAGCTTATATGTTCTAGCCCCTTCCTCAAACCACAGAACACCACCAGTTATGGCAACATAGCATACAAATGCCTGGGAAGAGTGACAAAACACTCAGGTGATGTCCCACGACTCTCCAAACTCTCTCATTCTATGTGAGAATGTCAACAGTAATGATCAATAGCTTTGATGACCTCTTGTAAGGGGATACATCTAGTTTTATGAAGATGACAGCTGTTCTGGTAGGGAAACAGTGCTGTGTGACACTGAAGTAGCCTTTTAAAAAATAATTTATTATTTTTATTTTATGTGCATTGGTGTTTTGCCTGCACGTAACCCATGTGTAAGGCTGTGAGATCTTGGAGTTGTGAGCTGCCATGTGGGTGCTGGGAATTGAACCCGGATCCTCTGTAAGAACAGTCAGTGCCCTTTAATTGCTGAGCCATCTCTCCAGCCCTGAAATAGCTTTTAAGGGTATCTTATTTATTTCTATTGCTGTGAAGAGACTGTTGATCATGTCAACTCATAAAAGGAAAACATTTAATTGGGGCTTGCTTACAGGTTCAGAGGTTTAGAAGTATGGTGGCACACAGACAGACATGGTGCTAGAGAGGAAACTGAGAATTCTACATCCAGATCCAAAGGCAGAAGGAAGAGAGAGTGTCACTGGGCTTAGCTTGAACATTTGAAACCCTGGGATACACTCCCTCCAGCAAGGCCACACATCCTAATAGTGCCACCCCCCATGGGTCTATGGAGGTCATTTTCATTCAAACCACCAAAGAGGGGATGTGAGAAGATTAACTTGGAGGTAATACGTGTCACCTTTGGCTAGATACCATACGTAAGGTTTGAAAAAGTGAAGTCTGATGGATACATTTTATACCTAGCAGAGGTGATAGAAAACAAGAAGAGATGGTGGTGATTGAATTCAAGGCCTCACATGTTTTAAGCAGGTAATCTGTTGTTAAGGGACATCTCCAACCTAGAAAATGACATTTTCAAAGACATAATAGCAAGACTATGTGCTATGCCACAATAATGCATTCATTATCTGTGGGCACAACATCCAGCATTGTTAGGAAAATCTAAGTACTCTTTCTGCTATAAAATACAAGTCATGGGACCAGCCAAGTAGCTCAGTGAATAAAGGTTCTTGCCATCAGGACTGAAGTTCTAAATTCAGTCAATTTCTGAGACCCACACAATGGAAAGGGAACGTGAATCCTTCACGTTGTCCTCTGACTTCAAATATGTATGTGTGTATACAGATCATGTTCTATGAGATTGCTGCTTATTAAAATATAAATAACAAAATAATTAACTTACTTGAATAGCATTTCCTAAACAGTAGTAGAATAAAAAACCAAGAATACACTATCAACCAAGGTATATACACACCCTGTTTCTGCAAACTTAAGCAATTACTAGCTCTGTGGTTTATCATAAAGATGAAATAATACAAATATAGCCTTACATAAAAAGTTTCCATATGAATTAAATAACATAATCCCATGCCCATACATAATAAATCATCAGCAAGTGTGAGCCATTACCATGAAACATTAACTTCTGAACATTGTAATGAACTAGGCAGAAAATGATTCTACCATAGAAGTTTGAATAATGCTGGGCTTCTTGAGTTTAAAGAAATTTGGTTCCTAATGGGCTTCTCAAGACTCAAGGGTGATACAATGAAATGTGCCTTAAAAATGCATCTACTCACAAGCTGACCATGGCATGTCCCCACAAACAGCAGCAAAGCCTTTGATCCCAGTTATTAGGGAGGCAGGGGCAGGAGCTTTAAAAGTGCAAGGCCGGCTGGGCATTGGTGGTGCATGCCTTTAACAGCAACACCTTTAATCCCAGCACTCAGGAGGCAGAGGCAGGTGGTCTCTGTGAGTTCGAGGCCAGCCTGGTCTACAGAGTGAGTTCCAGGCCAGGCTCCAAAACAATACAGAAAAACCCTGTCTCAAAAAACCAAAAAAAGAAAAAAAAGGGGGGGGGGCAAGGCCTTGAACTAGATAGAGTATTCAGACCAGACCTGGGAAATTATTGAAACTCTGCCTCGAGATAAAAATTAGGGGTTGGGAAGATGGTCCAAGAGGTTAAATAATTGCCACGTAGGTGTGAGAAGAGGGGTTTGGATCTGCAGAACCCACATAAAATCTGAGCACCTGTGGCAGCTTACCTGTACTCTCAGTGTACTGCAGGAACAGATGGGTTCCTCAAATCAAACGGGTTTGCTAGTCTAACAGAACCAGTGCGTTATGGACTCAAATGAAAGACCTTGCCTCAATATATAAGGTGGCAATCAGTCAGGAAAACTCCACCTCCCCCTCAGGCCTCTACACAGATGGGTACACAAGTGCACACATATGCCAAGAAAAAAAATAAAAATATAAAAGGCCTAAGGATGTAGTTCAAAGATACTATATTTACCTAGCCCTAGGTTCAAAAGGACCAATCTATTATTATACAAGTATGTTTCTATTAATCAAAGCACCAGGGAATCTCTTCATAATATATCTTAAATTTAGACTGTCTGCTTATCATTGTTTTTACTTAAATCCTCCACTGCTTTGTAGGATTCTTAAGGGTTAAGCCTGTCTTCATCCAATGTGGCATTCTTCATGCCAAGGTACTACCAGCCCATATTAAATGCTTAGCGTATCTTTTATAAATTGATTATTCATATATTTAATATTGACCTAAGAGCAACCCTAAATATTTTGGTTCAACTTCTATGTCTGCAGAAATCCACTTACAGAAAAAGAAAACCATAAACCTACCACAGAGATAGGACACTTTGAAAAAATGATTATTATCTTCATAAGATTTTTATGATTCTCATAAAACTACCAACTTCCTTCAGCAATACAGAATGATAACAAAAAATGAAAATACCTGATCCCAGGAAACAGAATGGTCATTGGACTCTTTCTCCATTGTTATAGATGTCTTAGGGTCTCCCCGACTATGTATTGTCGCATTTTGTTTCCTTTGGTATCGATGGAGGGGATCCTTTTTGGCACAGGCCCTTCTGGTAGAGAGTATGTTGAGGAGTTGGTCTAGTTCTAGAAATTTCATATAAAATCTGGTGTCACATGGAATAGACAGGTCACATTTAGAGGAGTCACAATTTCCATGGCTACAGCTCAGACTTTTTACCAGATAAACTTGGTTCTACTGAAAATGGTTATAATGGAGCAAAGCTGAAGAGTATTTGTACTTTGTTAGGCAGCTTATTCCTTCAAAAGACCTTGGTTAAACTTGTATGATGGACAAGTCTTCCCAGAATAATCCTATATTTTTATATGCTAGAAATAATAAAAGTGAGCAGCCAATGGACATATATTTCATTGAGACATACATTGTATTTGCTATAAAAATATAATGAAGGGGAGGGAGAAATGGCTCAGGGATAAAGGCATTTGCTGCCAAGCCTGATGGTTCAATTTGATTCCTGAGACCCACGTGGTAGAAGGAGAGAACCAAGTCTAGAAAGATTTCCTCTGACCTTCATTTATGAACTGTGGCACACTTGTGTGTGCACACAAATACACACAAACATATCCATGCATTTGCATGTACATACGTATAAAATAACCTCAATGTAATAAAAATTCAAATTAAAAAATGTAAAATAGAAACTGGCCAATCTTCGGGAAATTTACTTCCTGAAGGCACTTTACATCCTCAGTGGACGGTATATTTCTCTAATGTATATAAATCAGTCAAAACACTTTCACTTAGATGTAGACGCAGAACAAAGAAAACAAGTGAAATTAAGCCAAGGTTAGAGAGGTTCACTACATTCTAATCTTTTAAGTTGTGCTCTTGATGGCACACATATATTGGAGTTTGGTTCCCTCAATTCATTTCTGTGCTATTTAAATACAGAGAATGATTAAATAAAATAACCAGTTTATATGGCATTACTCTTCTTCTTACCTGTGGATAAAATGCCTTTGTAATTTTTCTAAACAGTATAATCAATTATATAAAATTTACCAAGTAATTTTATCCTAGATAACCAATTTTCACAACAAAACAGTGTTATGAGCTTTCCAGAAAACTGAAAAAGAGTGACCTATGTTAAGGAAAAATAGAAAACAATGTATGCATCTCTAGATATATATTTTTTGATGTTAGATTTAGCCTCAAAGTCCTCAAGGGAGTTAGCAAAAGTATGTTTAAGGAACTAAAGAAAATAATATTTAAATAATTAAAGTGAAGCATAGCAACAAATCATATAAAATAAATTTTCAATAAGAATATAAATGTTACATAAAGTTCTGAATAGATACTGTGTAGTTTTAAGATAAAGTTGGAAAATAATCAAAAAAGCACTCAACAATATATGTGAGGTAGCAGAAGGTAAAAATCACTGATCATTTAGATTGGGTAACAGAAATACTTCTTCCTGAAAAATAGAGAAAGAAAGAACTGGAATAAATTTCAGAGACTCAGAAAACAACAGTTATTATCAACAGACATGTATTGGCAGCCACAGAAAGAGAGGACAAAGGATAAGGGGATAAAACTGATGAAAATAATGGCCAAGAAATTCCCAAGTGTTATAAAAGTCTTCATTGACAATGCTCAGGAAGCTTATTAAACACCAAGCAACTTAAATAAGTGAGCATCCATATTCAGACACATTATAGTCAAAGTGATGAACATCAGAGAAAAAATCTGTCAAAGCAACAGGCTGCCCCACATATATGAACCACTTTAGCTTGTTGTTTTGCAAGATTTTGTCTCTGAACAATGAAGGACCCACAAAAAAATAGTTGGATGATGAATTCAAAGAACTGAAAGAAACAGTTGTCAATCAATGGTTTTATACCCAGCAAAACCACCCCTCAAAATGAATTACAAGAAAAAAAAAAAAACAAAGCAAAATCCTGGAAAACAGTAAATGAGAGAATTATTTGCTAGTAGTCATATATGATGAGAAACATTGAATTATATTCTTTTTATAAAATATGAGTTTTATTTGTGTGTGTGTGTGTGTGTGTATACGTGTGTACAAACGTATGTGTGTCTAAGTATGTGTATATGTACACAATTGCCTATAGTGGCCAGAAAATGGTATTGGGCTGCCTGGAGCTGGATTTTCAGGCGAGTTGCAAGCCTCCTGATTTGGATGCTGGGATCAGAATTCCAGTCTTCTGAAAGAGTGGCAAAACCTATTTACCACTCAGTCATCTTGACTACCCCAGATGAAATTCTTCAGGCTGAAAAGAAATGACTCAAACTTCCCTTTAGGAAACTAAATGACAGAGAGCAGAGGGGAGATCATAATGATAGGATTAGACCATCATTTTCTAAACTTCAAATAACTGATTTAGATAATCATCAGAAACTAATAAACCTCATACAAAAGAGATGCAAATACTCCAAAATCTTCTGATAGAAGTCACCAACCATAAAATCATGTTCTTCACTAAATAACTGAAAACAAATCCCATCTCCATATACAACCACCAACATACAGGAAATGCATGGAAGTGCATATTAACTCTGAATGAAATCAGTAATCCACAGGCCAAACATTTCTTTATTCCCCCAACAAAACAATTTGTGATAAAATAGACAGAATGGGGGTGGAGACATATGCCACTTGTAAAGGAAATGATAAACTTACCAACATTTTAAATGGATCTTTATTTTAATTGTGTGTGTGTGTGTGTGTGTGTGTGAGTATAGGCTCACATGTGCGTGTCATACATGTGGAATCTAAGGTGCTAGTCCTTGCTCTCCACTTTGATTAGGACAGGGTCTTTTGTTCCCACTATGGAAGCCAAGCTAGCTGGCCCATGAGCCTCTGGGGGACTGTTCTTCTCTGCCTATCCTGCCATAGGAACACTGGGTTCACAGATCATTCCTGTGCCTGACTTTATTTGGATACTGGGATTTCAACTCAGCTTCTCATCTTTTCACAGACAGCACATTACCCACTGATCCAACTTCCTAGCTCATTTCGTGGATCTTATCTGGGCCCTGATTCAATTAAACAATAAAAAAATTTTTAACTCAAGAAAATATGATTCAGCATTTTCCTATATTGAAAAGCAATTGCTTTTGATTGATATTGTATAATGATATTAGAAAGAAAATCTACCTACGGATACTTAGATTCAGAATTTGAAACTGTCAAACCATTTCAGATACTTAACTTTCAAGCCATTTCCCTAGTAAATGCAAAGAAACATACAAAATGAATATTCATATTTCACTGCTGGCATTGTATTTCATCTCAGAGCCTCCAAATGTTAGTTATCAGAAATAAAGTAGATGAATAATATACAAACTACTTCTGCTTAAACATAAACGCCTCACTTTTATGATTATACTCAAACGACTACAGACTCTCTTGAACCATTTTGAACAGCTTTTCCGTCATTCTGCCATCTCAGGCCCAATGTTATGTATGAAACAGGAAAGCTGTTTAGATAGTTCTCAAGGCAGGGTCTAAATCTTCCATTTGACTCTACGTCCACAATCCTTATCCCTACACAAATGGGCCAAGTTCGTGTTTATGCTTCATCAACTAATAGACTTCTGCCTGGAGAGGCCATCTGTGCTCTCTTATCACATGCCAAGATAAAACAGTGTTTAAAACAGACCTGAACAAATGCACTCAACGAAATGCTCTAGCCTTTGCTTTTTGGCACAATTAATTAGACAGATGTGAATTGGAAAGGAAATAATGAAAACAACCTTACCAGATAGGTAGAGGGAATTGGTAGCATTCAAGACACTGAAAATATAGTCTGTAAAGTCATCTGGGGAAGGCAAGTCTGCCCTCCCGAGGCAAACTCCTTGGAGAGACAGGGCGATGATGGTTGCTGCCAGCTGAGGAAGTGTCTTTCCATCAGCACCATTGTTGCCCTGAATACCAGATTTCTGCTGTAGCGTCTTAGTTTCCATACACTAAAGAAAAAAACAAAACAAAGCAGAGAAACTGTTAGCTTCTGGAGTTACACTGAATAAATCTCCTCTAAATTTCCCACAATGCATGAGGAATTGTTCATCTAAAAGAAAATTGGCTTGTATGAATGACAGTTGGGAAACACTTGACCTTTTCGAATCTAATCCCACCCTCCTGGGTCTCAGTTACCTACACTTTTTGATGACTGTCTTAAAGATACACTGTTTTCGACTCTGGGATCTCATGGCTTGGGGACTGCAGGCAGGTTGACCCCCACCCAGAGGACCATGCAACCACAAGCCTTTTTCTGATAATGAGATTAATGACTACCTTATATGCCATCCTAGACTCTTTATCCAGTGACTGATGGAAGCAGAGACAGACACCCACAGCTAAACACTGAACTGAACTCCTGGAACTCAGTTGCAGAAAGGGAGGAGTGATGAGCAAAGGGGTCAAGAATGGGCTGGTTAAACACACAGCTGGCCTGAACAAGGGGGAGATCTTGAACTCCAGACTGATGACTGAGAGGCCATCATGGGACTGATCCAGATCCCCTAAATCTGGGTGTCAGTGAGAAGGCTCTGGAAATCTATGGGGTCTCAGGTAGTAGATCACTATTTATCCCTGGCATACTAATGGACTTTGGGAGCCCATCCCACAATGAGGGATGCTCTCTCAGTCTGGACACATTGGGGAGGGCCTAGGCCCTGCCCCAGATGATATGACAGACTTTGGAGATCCCCATGGAGTGTCTCATCCTTCCTGGGGAGTGGAGTGGGGACTGGCTGGGGGATGTGGGAGTTTTGTGGGGGACGGGGAGGAGAGGAGGGAGAGGGAGCAGGGATTTACATGTGAAGCAAGCTTCTTTCTAATTTAAACAAAAAATAGAAAAAAATATACACTGTTTTCAAGGGGATCCCCTGCTCTTACAGCTTGCATCCTTTCCTTTGGTGAATGTTCTCCCAGATTCAAGGGCTCTTGTAACCTAAATGATTTTCAACTCTGCTTCTTAGCCTGGAAGGCACACAGGAAACTTCAATGATTAATTTTAATTGCCAACTTGATAAAGTTTACTGTTACCTGGGGGATGGGTTTCTAACAGTGCCTATGGGAGATTGTCTTGATTAGGTTACAAGTATTTGTTGCTGTCTTCCTACAGACTGTAGGACTCAGTATGACCAAGTGATTCAACCCTCTACTGCCTTGAACTCCCTGCCATGATGGACTGCACTTTGAACTATGAGCCAAAATAAACTCATACTTCCTTACACTGATTTTGTCAGGCATTTTGTCATATCAACAGAAAAGTAGCTAAGACACCACCTTTACTTCTACATCAGCCTTGAGTCCCAAGTTCAGTATGTATTTACTACAGTGAATCAGTGAATGTATGGTATACTCTAGAATCATGTTTGTGTTCTTAGAGTTCCTATAGAACAAAGACATGTAGCCTCTGTGTGTGTGTGTGTGTGTGAGAGTTTTTCCTGATTTAAATTATGTAAATTTGACAAGGTATAATTTTGCTTTAAATCCATCTCTATATATATATCCTGTGATATGCCATGTACTATGATAAGCCTACTATCAATGAACTGGGATGGTCTGGTTCATACAAAAGGATGCAAGCACAGATTATTGTGTCAACACTCAATTCTTACGATGTTGGAGAAGGAATAAAGCAACCCACTGGAGTTATTCTCTTTGAGGTCTAGTGGTAACCTCTAGACAGGAGTCTATGTATAGCAACTTTGAAAATATAGGAGTGGAAATTAGCACCTCACACAGGCTAAGCAAGTGTTCTTCTCAGGGCTACGTTTCCAGCAGTGTTATCACATTTTTGACAAATTTTGAGAAGTACTATAAGGGAAAGGAACAAGTTGAGATACAACAGTATGACCCTCACAGTGAATTTTTCATAGAGATTTGTGAAAAAGAAAAAAAACCATTATAGTCATAACGTTTTGCTGAGGATAGAGGAGAATTCCAGCCATTGTTTTGACCACAGAAGGCCTTAGAACATAGTAAATATCTATCTTCCATGAAGAAATAGAGCTAGGATGAGCTATGAACAGAACCCTGCATGTAATAGTAAGTCTATTTGCAGCATACTAGAGGGACACTGCCTGGAACAGGACAACAGAGACCTTTGGCTCTCAAACAACAAAATGGAAACTAAGAATTAAACTTGTTTTTACAAATCAATGAATAATTCAAAAGAGAGAAAAGTCACAGTCATTGTTCCATAAATAATCTTCATACCTCTTCAAAGTATGGAATGTATGCTCAATGAACTCTTCTGGAAATATGACTCAAGATTTATAAGGTGATACAGAATAAAGAATATTAAGAGCTGCAAAGGAGAAAGACCAGGTAACATATAAAGGCAGACCTATCAGAATTACACCTGACTTCTCAGTGGAAACAATGAAAGTCAGAAGGTCCTAGTCAGATGTTATGCAGACACTGGGGGACCACGGATAATGGCCCAGACTACTTTACCCAGCAAAACTTTCAATAACCATAGATGGAGAGAACAAGATATTCCATGATAAAACCAAATTTAAACAATACCTATCCACAAACCTAGCCCTACAGAAAGTACTAGAAGGAAAATGCCAACCCAAGGAAGTCAGCTACTTCCACAAGAACACAGGCAATAAAGGAGCTTATAGCAGTAAATCTGAAAGAAGGGAATTGAGCACACAATGCCATCACCAACAACAAAAACAAAAATAACAGGAACTAGCAATCACTAGCCATTAATAACCAGTAATATAAATTAAGGAAATGCTCAACATCCTTAGTCATTAGGGAAATGCAAATCAAAACCATGAAAAACATCGACAAGAATGACTAAGATCAAAAATACCAATGACAGCTTATGATGGAGAGGATGTGGATAACAGGTAACACTCCTCTATTGCAAACTTGCATAGCCACTGTGGAAATCAGTATGGTGATTTCTCAGAAAATTAGGGTTCAACCTACCTCAACACTACAATACCATTTTTGGTTATATATCCAAAGGAGGCACATTCACACCACAAGGACATTTGCTCAGCTATGTTCATAAGCAGCATTATTCATAATAACCAGGTCTTGAAAACAGCCTAGATGCCCCTCAACTGAAGAATGGATAAAGAAAATGTGGTGTATTTACACAATGGAGTACGATTCAGAGGTAAGAAAAAAAATGACATCCTAAAATTTGTAGGCAAATGGACAGAACTAGAGAAAAACCATCCTGAGTGAGGTAATCCAGACTCAGAAAGACAAATATACTATGTATTCACTCATAAGTGGATACCAGACAAAGCAAAATATACCCAACCTACAATCCACAACCCCAGAGAAGCTAGAACCCTCTTCCAGAAACGGAAGCAGATGCAGAAATCGACAACTAATTAATGGGCCAAGCTCCTGGAGTACAGTCAAAGTAAAGGAGGATTGATAATATGAACAAAGGAGTCAAGACAATGATGGGGAAACCCACAGAATCAGGTGACCCGAGCTAGTGAGAGATCACTGACTCATGTCTGACAAATGGGGAACCTGCAAAGGATGGGACTAGACTCCTTTAATATAGGTGACAATGGTGTGGCTGGGACAATATATGAGGCCACTGGCAGTGGGTCCAAGATCTAACACTAATGTACAAACTGACTTAGTGGAGTCCATTATATATAGAGAGATAACTTGCCCAGTCTAGACACAGGGATGTGGGGGTGGAGAGATGCCTTGGTCCTGCCTCAAAAAGAGGATGGGACAGACTTAGTAGACTTCCTAGGGGGGGGGACTTACGCTCTCTGAGGAGCAGATGGAAGGTGGGGGGGTAGCAGAAAGAGTGGGAGGAGGGGAAGGAGAGGGAACTGGGATATTAATGTAAAAAATAAATTAATTTTAAAAAGTTAAAATAAATAAATAAAATGATACATGTCTTTAGCTGGAAAAAAAGATTTATGAAGTGGAAGTTTTGCTCAATGGTAGAGTACTTGCTTAGCATGCACAAAGGCCTAGGTTCAATCCCCAAGAAGATGATGGTGATGATGATCACAATGATGACATTGATAATGATGTTGATGATGGTGTTGATGGTGATGATGAAGGGTGTGTGTGTGTGTAGCATATGCATATGTGTGTAAATGTATATATGGCCTGTGTGTACTCATGTAGAGGCCAGAAGTCAATGTCAGTTATCATCCTTTACCACTCTCTACCTTTATTTTTTGAGACAGTGTCTGTCACTGAACCTGCAGCTTTCCATTTGGGCTAGACCAGCTGACTACAAGTCCCCAAGTATCTGCCTATTGCCCTCCAACCCCAAGGATTACAGGAATAATTGAAACACTTAGCTTTTCCAGGGGCAATAGAGATCCAAACTCAGGCATTCATGCTTGTGCTTCAAGCACTTTACTCATGAGCCCTGTCCCCAGCTCCATATGATGAGGAGAATAATAGTATAAGCTTTATGTCCTTCGTCTGCTGGAACTTAAAGCATGCTGGAAAGGCCAGACCTCCTAGAACAGGAATGAAGGCCACAGAAGAACAGGTGCCCACCTCCCAAGAGTGGGAGCTGGGGCAAGATGAGAAGCATGAGCATGGACACAAAATGCTAAGCAGCAGAGGGGCTGCTGTTTGGAGTTGATTATTGAAAGTAATGCTTTTGCAAAAGCTATTTCATCAATGAAATCACCGATGATAAATACATCTCTTAAATTGTTTCTGTCTTCTTCCCTGGTCAGAAGCCAAGACAAACAGACACAGGGCCTTCCATCTCTATAGTTCATCTCTTGGATGTTGACCAAAATCTGAGTCATGGTTATTCAGGAGACAGATGAGAAGTGCCCTGTCACCTGGCCTGCCTACCACCCACCCACCCAGCTTCTGGCTAAAAGTCACCTCCATTTAGTCATTCCATTTCCACTTAGAATTTTAAATTATGTTACTTATTATCCTCTAGTTGAAACCAGAAATACCCATCTCTCTTAGAAGTTCACCCATGTCCTAGGAATGAGTGACACAAATAAGTCCAAGCCTATACCTCCACAGGAGCACAGGAGCCTCACTTCTTACCTGGCTACTGGAAATGCCAAAGTACTGCCTGGTGAGAGTCAAGATGTCATCAGTCTCCTTCTGTGAAAGGAAATCGGAGTCTTCATCGTGCCTGAGGCCCAGTAAGCTATGCAGGTAAAATGCATACTCTCTGTTGTTCATGTTGAGCTTTGATGAACAGATCTCTTCCTGGTGAATGATGTAATAGAGGAGGAGGAGAGAAACTCTCTGGACCACCTCATCTCTAAGCTCATCCTCGAAATCTCCACCAGCTGTTAGTAACAGCGCATCTGGTTCCAAACACTGTGGGGGAGGATAAAGGAGACAAAGCCAAGTTTTACACACAACCCAGAGCATTGCCCACACAAGTTCTCAAGTGCTTTGTGCCATGTGAATATAGAGCAAGGCAGTCAGTCCCAGCGACTACATTCAGAGACTGAGTCATGGTGAGATGTTTATTTGACCGTCATCTCCTCCTGGAAACCCCTTTTTGTAAAAGTGGCCTCTCTGTTCTCAAAATGTTGACTTATTCTTTTGCCAGCCAACTCCTTGGACTGTGCCTGGTGGTGCATGCCTTTAATCTTAGCACTTGGGAAGAAGAAGCAGGTAGATCTCTTGAGTTCAAGGTCATCCTGGTCTACAAAGCCAGTTCTAGGACAACCAGTGCTGTTACACAGAGAAAACCTGTATTGAAAAACCAAAAACAAGAAAGCAAACAAATATACATACAAAAAAAGTCACTCTTTAGGGGGTCTTCCACAAGGCTTTCAGTCTTTGTTGTCCCTCACAATGTTGTTATATAGAAAAACATATATGACTTTGAAATTTTCTAGACAGCCATGTTTTCAACAGTAAAAATAAACTTGTATGATTCATTTTAATGCTTTACAAAAATTTATATATTCCAGATACAATTTTTGAACATGCAGTCAAAAGTCTAAAATGAATAATGAGTTATTTTATGTTTTTTGTAAGTCTAAGTTTTTTAAATCTAGTGTACAATTGCCAGCAAATCTTACTTCATACACATCATCTTTCCATTATTGAATAGTTACATGTAGCTGTAGCTACTGTGTTGGGCAGTACAGCTCTAGAATTTCACTTTCTTCACAGAAGTGTATTATAAAACTACTTTGTTGGTTTGTGTATTCTGTCTCTCCACAACAAGAACAAGTGCTTATTTGGTCAGGTTTCCAGGTCTTAAGTCTAACACTCTCCCAACTAAGCTATTTTGGTAGCTGTGGTTTCCAGGTTTTATATTCAGTACATGACACAAAACCTGGAATTTAGGAGGTATTTAAAATGCAGTGATCACCTGGTCCTCTATTCTCACCTAAAAGAACTGTCAAAATGTTTCCATTGAATGGAATATATCAGAACATATCATCCCCACAAATCACTTTGGTGTATCAACAATTTTGAGATAAAGGCAACTGGGAAACAGTAAATATGGAAGTGCTCTCTGCCCTCTCCTCTTCTTCGTAAAAGTGAAGACTAAATTTCCTTTGAGAAGGGTGTCCTTTATGTACCATGAACAGAATATGCTTATCCCAATCTACATAGACTACATTATCCCTACCATCTTTTTCTTTCCTTTTATATTTCCTAATAAGTTCTCACAATTTACTACCCCTAAACTATTTTCCTTCGCTTGTCACATGTCCACAATTCTTTGTTTTTGTTTTTTGTTGTTCTTAAAATGGTAGATATATCCTACTTATTTGGGGGGCATTCTTATCTTTTAGTGTAGCTGTCTTCACTACATAAAATATCAATACAAATAAAACTTGCACACTTTTCTCCTGCTAGTCTGCCTTTCTTTTCTGTTAAGGTCATTTGACTTTGTCTCGGAACCCTTCAAGGCTGAATGGAAAGACTTCTATATCCTGCACTTTGGTGCATTGTTTCACAAGCCACAGAGAGCTGCAGATCCTCCAACTTGAGAGAGTCAAAGAAACATCATTGGAGCCGGGTGGTGGTGGCGCACGCCTTTAATCCCAGCACTCGGGAGGCAGAGGCAGGCGGATCTCTGTGAGTTCGAGGCCGGGCTGGACGGATAGCCTCCGAAACAATACAGAGAAACCCTGTCTCGTAAAAACCAAAAAAAAAAAAAAAAAAAAAAAGAAGCATCATTGGACAGTGAGAAAAATGACAGGAGCTGTGACTGGAACATTTTCTCAACAGAGAGAAAAGCTAGAGTCACAGAGAGTTGGAGAGTTCTCTCAGTATCTGAGAAGCAGCTATGTTGCCTAGCAACAACCTCAAGGTGAAGCACTGTGGAATGTATGTCTCAAGTTTCAGGGACATTCACCACACTGTGGGAATAATTACCCCAGAGTCCTTTAATCAGTTCTCTGATGTGTAAGATTGGAAGGCTCTACTAACATGACTCAAGTGGCATGCTGGGTGCCAAATGGTATATGGCATACACATCAGGAAGAAACTGCAAATACCCATGTTCAAAGCAGGGCTCCAAAGTGTCCTTCCCAAAGCTGCATACACTGTAGTCTACTTCCTCCCCAACTCAACTTCTGGGGACACACAGAGTTCACATGAAAATCTATGTTCAGTGTGAAGCCACAGCAACCCTCTGGCATTCCATAAGTAAGTCCCTTCCTACAGTGAGTGTATACATTGGTGGCTGATGATAGGGCTGAAACCAAATCATAAAAAGTAGCTGGCTTGAAGCTATCTTGATAAAACTATTCTGTGTACTAAATAACCTTGTGTAGCCACACTGCAGACAGTGTGACTTATGACTGAGTAACAACTTCGTGCTTAACATCATACTAAGCATTTCACATACTCAGATGTTCCTCATAATACAGCCTCACTAATGCTGGAAAAATGTGTATCATGGTGGGTTTTGTTTTTGTTTTTTTGAGACAGTCTCACTCTATAGCCTTGGTCAGCCTCCAACTCATAGATCTGCTTGCCTCTACCTCATGTATAATGATTTCTTTGTTGTTAGAAATTCCATTGTATTATTTTTAATAGAAAAATATTCTCTACCTCTTTAATAAATCACCAAATACAGCTATATGATATAAGGCATTTAAAATATCAATCATTCCGTTATTAAATAGTTAATAAATTAGTGGATAAATTTTTCAATATGCAAAAATATTGAATTTAAAATCAAACATGTATAACTTTCTCTTCTATGAAAAATGTTTGCCCATAATGTAACTTATAACCAAATTTAAACAGATGCTAAGTCACTTGCTTAAAGACACACAGCTAGTAGTGGTTTGTTACATGAATCTTAAGTTCTTTAGCAAGTCATTTTCTGTCCTTCCTTTTTGGTAGGAAGAAAGGTGCAGATGCAAAAGGATATTGAAGAATCTAATGTCAGTGATGATGAGACTAGGATGGTGTAGAAGGTTGAATGAGTATTTTTAAAAAGGTTGTTGTTGTACTGAGCTGAGCCATTAAAAAGCTGCTAACATCACTGGGTCTAGGAAGCTCAGGAGGTCACCATGCCAATCATATGTAGTCAAGTCAACAGGCGCACAGGAATGTATGTAGCCATTCTGAATACTATATTGTTGTGGGATTCCTGCTTGGGTCCCATTGCCATTTCAGAGCCCCCAAATAACACAGAGAGACTCTATTAGTTATAATGCTGTTGGCCAATGTCTAGAGTTTCTTATTGGCTAGCTCTATCTTAAGTATTAACCCATAACTACTAATACATATTTCTACAAGGTCTCATCTTACAGAGAACACCAGACTCATGCACCCTCTCCTCCCAGGATCACATGGCGACTCCCTGCTACATTTCCCAGAATCCTCCTTCTCTCCTACTCCTGCCTGTCTTGCTTCCCTATTGGCCAACAGTGTTTTATTCATCAACCAATAAGAGAGACATATTTACATAATGACATCTCCCATCACTATAAGATTCCTTTGCCTGAGATTCCTGCCCATTCCTGGTTCCTCCCTAATATTTAACACGGGGTGTGTAGCATGTGGTAGCATCAAGACTGCACAGACAGGTATTGTAGATTGGAATTACTCAAAACATGCAATATGGAACATAAAGTTAATTTCTTTCTGATTTTAAAAAAATTCAAGCCAGTTCTAGAAGCTTCTTGTATTGTGTGACAGGATTTAGTCACACCAACTAGAAGTCACCTAGTTGGATGCTTGATGAAGTAAAATCTAACTATGAATCAAATGAACTTAAAAAAAACTTTTTATAATTTAATATTATAGAAGCTACAGAGGGTAATACCTTAGAGAATGAAAACTATAGAAGCTTAAGAAGAAGTAAAAAAAAATAAGTAAGAATTCCTCCCCCTAGGCTACTAGGATTGGTGATGGGGAGAAAGGGACTGAAAACTTTCCATTCATCACAACTTGGTTTAATTTTGTGAATGAAATATTTAGCTGCTGGCACAGTTGTATATAGGAAAGGATGTTTAACAAAGTTTTACAAATATTGCCATCTCATAGGAATCAAATATACCCAAGGCCATACCCTGGTGAAAATATTATTTGTTAAAGAAGAAAAGCCACATTTGGGGATCCATCAATGTCCCTTTATGTCTTGTCAAGGGGAAGCATAGGTTTAAAGGGAATAAACAAATCCAGACTCAGAGAATTCATTTTTAAAGACTTCATAAGGAAAGGAAGTTGGGGGAAAGATGAATTAGACTCCAAACAAGGGCTTCCCTGCAAGCTCAATGGTCTGCCCAGGTTCTTGGTGGTAATTTCCCATCACTCCCTGAGGCCAAGTTAAACTGCATACTTCTAATGCATAGTTCAGCTTTGCTTATGTCATGTGGAGACTGGAGCTACAAAGAGCAACATGAGAGCTTTCTACACCCACAGAAGAAAGGCAGTGAAATATGCCAGCTTCAAAACTGATAAATGTGTTGTTAGCATCTTATTGCTTCTGTCTATTTACCTATCTATCATCTACGTACTTATCATGTATCATCTACCTATCTTTTTCTTTCTGGTATTTATGTATGTTTGTATAAATAGATGACATGAAAGTAGAAAGGGGATCTTTGGGAAAGAGAAAATGGCTAGTGGGAGTAGTAAGACTAGACAAGAGAGGATACCAGTAGAAAATACAGCCAAGGTATGTGATATACTTAAATTATCCTTATGAAACCTACTTTGTACAAAGAACATATGTTGACAAAAAAGACAAATGTGCAGCTGGAAAGATGGTTCAGCAGTTAAGAGCACTGGCTGCTCTTCCAGAGGATCTGTTTAGATGGATCCTCATCCCCCACACGACAGCTCACAACTGTCAATAACTCCTGCTCCAGAGGATCTTACATCTTCTACTGGTGTCTGTGGGCATTTGCACACATACATGGATGCAAAATATCCGCACAGATGAAAACAAATAAATCTTTAAAAAAACATGATTGTTACCTGCAAGAAAACTTTAGAAGTTTAGAACCCACCAATGTTTAAATCTGATTTATAGTTAATGGTAAATGCACCGACCTCTTTCATTTCCTTAGACCTTTATAAGGTACATTTTAAAAAATCAAATTGTATTGTTACCTTTTCCAGCCAAAGAGCTTGAAGGATGTTGGATGGTGGCAGGGATGCTCTATAACCCATGGCTATCCTGACTAACAGAAATAGAAATCCTAAGTGAGTGAGTTCAGATAAACTAATCAGAAACACACATCAAAGTTACAACCAGTGATCTGGGGGTAGGAGCACATGTGCACTAAAATGGGTTCCTTAAAACGGTGGTCATGCCTCAAGAGGCAGGTGGATCTCTGTGAGTTTGAGGCCAGCCTGGTCTAGAAAACTACACAGAGAAACCATGTCTCGAAAAACCAAACCTAACTAAACCAAACCAAACAAAACAAAAACCCACCCATCTCAGCAGCTAAGAACTTGCTGATGCACCTTCTGAAAAAAAATCAGTTAAAATCCTGAACATCTGATCTTAGCATCTGAGGCAGATGAGGGATGGGAGACATCTGGGGTAGATGGGATGGAGTTTCTGAGGAATGTCACTGTTCCAGAGTCTATGGGAAAGGATCACACATTGCCTTGAAGAATAGGGACTGTAAGGGACTGAAGTCATTGTGAGCTCCATGATCCAGCAAGTACATCTGTGTCCATGTGACCCTGTAGAGCAGCAGTTAGCAACCTTTGGGTCACAACCACTTTGGAGGACAAATGACTCCTTCACAGGGATTGTCTAAGATCATCAGAAACACAGCTATTTGCATTATGAGTCAAACAGAAACAATGAAGTTATGACTTCATAACAGAAGTTATGAAGTAGCAATGAAAGTAATTTTATGGTTGGGGGTCACCACCACAACATGAGGAACTGTATTAAAGGGTCACAGCATTAGGGAGGTTGTGAAGCACTGCCCTAGAGACTTCTAGGAGGAGACTCACTACTTTTCACTAAGGACGAGAAAGGAAGGTTAAATATGCCTCAGTAGCTAGAAGTTTCCAGAATAGAGATATTTCCCCTCCAGGAAGGTGTGCAGGGTGCTGATTCCCACTGAGTGGGTTGTTCTTTGGGAGTTAATCACTCTGAAAGTCCATTAAAACTCCATTGGGAATACAGGGCGGTTAGCAGAGTTCTTGCCTAGCATGCATGAAGTCCTAGGTTCAATTCTTCCCAGCACTAAAAAGCAAAAACATTGCAATTATTCTCATTTTAAAAATCAAAGAAAGCTAGGATCAGGACCAAACTGTTCATTTTTTATGAATTTGTTTTTAAATGTCTCGGGCCTCAGTTACCTCATACTGATTTAGTGACACCATTTTACATTTTCCCTCCTCACAAATTCGACAGTACCACTAACCTCAGTCTTTCTGTCCCCAGCCGCTGAGGATGCAAACCCACCCTCTGGCTCTTGTACTTTACCACAGAGTACCCAGAACAAACCCCACCTGTCAACTAGATGTGAAAAACCAGTGAAGAGACCCAGCAACAAGTCAAATCCTGTGGTTGTCTGTGAAACTGGATGTTTTTTTTTCCTGGCGTTTCATGGGCAAAAAATCATATCTTAGGCTCCTTCCAGGTGAGTGTTGAGGGGTTTCAAACCCTCTCCTATTTATATAGTCCCTTTTCCTCAGCTTCTCTGAGGAACAACAGCTATGAATACCCAACACAGACTGAGCATTTCAAAGCCTGGGAATAGATATAATTCAAGCGGAAGCCGAACTGGCCAAACCCTTGATAATGTCACTAAAAAAACAGCATAAACAACTATCCCTCCTTAGCCCCAAAGATGAAGAACAGTCTTGCCTGTTTATAGTCACCTAACAAAACTAATATCCAACCACCTTAATAAGGCCCTTCTTGTCATTAAAGAGGACATGGCTCCAGAGCAGATTCTCAGAGGACATTAATAAGATATGACTCCTGGTTATTTCCAGTGGGATGTCTGTTGTTACTATCTATATCTAGTAATGTCATCACAGATGAGCTGCCTATTATTATAACACATCCCCTCTGGGAACCATCGGGTGCCTTAATAATTATGGAATTATTTTTAATCATTCACAAAGAGCAGAGCAAAAAAAATTCCATCTGTGCAAGACCCATTCTGTCACAAGAGGGGCAAAACCAGAGAACAACTGGCTGGGAAATGCATTTCTTCTCCCCACCCTCAGCCTAGAACCCTGCTGGGTTGACAAAGCCAGCTGAAACTTACTTTGGAAGCAGCCCTGTGCTTCTTTTCTACTTGTTTGTGTTTTAACTTATCTATGCACTTGTAGGTTTGTCCTTAAAATTGTCATTGGTCCGGAATGGCATGACAAAGAGGGATTCTGTGAGCAGCTGTTTTAAGGCCCGGGCTCTCCTCCACAGTGGGGCTTGATGGACTTCTTCCTGTAACACCCACAGTGGAGTCTGATGGATCTTCTCCCATGACACCTAATGGGGGCATGGACTCTCAGTCCCCACCAATTTCATGCTACAACCTGGAGAAGGTTTTTTTTTTTTAAATCCATCTGTGGGTGAGTGGGTTTGCACACCTTTAATCTCAGCACTCAGGGAGCATTCTGTGAGTTCAAGGCCATCCTGGTCTACAGAATGAGTTTCTAGGACATTCAGAGCTTGCACAGAGAAACCCTGTTTCGAAAAAACAAAACAACAAAATCCTCATCCTAGGCAAGTCAAGATTCGGTCTGAGAAGGAACCTTGATGGAGTAGTCATGAAGCGTGTACAACTGCTTCTGGTGAGTAGACAGGTATGATTCACTTGATAGGTTAGGAGAATGAAGGCTGCGTGAGCGGCTGTGAGACAGGCCTCAGGAGGCATGGGTCCAGCTTCAACTGTAAACACAGCAGCCTTTCTCTCCTGCAGCTGATTCCTCACTAGTAATAATTAATAATTATCAAGGCTTTAACTACCTTACACACACACACACACACACACACACACATGCACAAAATCAGAAAACACCATTGGCATCTAGGAGAGGGCACCCAGAAATTGAGTGTTAGACAAATGTCAAAATGCTTTGATTGTCTCATGGAAGGGAAATAGCCTCTGTCTAACATTGTGCGTGTTCACTGCAGGCTTAAAAAGAAAAATCAAAACAATCTCAGAAAAGCAGAGAAGGGGAAGGACTGAGCAACAGTGTCAGCAAGTCAGTGCCTCTGAAAAAGAAGAAAGGGTGTAGAAACTTAAGCATTGTTTTTCCAATGATAAAACAGTCCTTTGTCTTGATATGCTCCCTGCAGTGTTCTGAATGGGTTGTCATAGCCCAAATGTTACCGTGCTACCTTAAACTTCCCTCTTGCATATGAAGAAATTTGCATGTCATTCCCTGTGATAAAACCATCTCTAGGAGATCCACTGTTCCCCTTCAAATGATTCTTAGCACCCAACGCCACTTTGTTTTACTAACCAGCTTGCAGTCTCCTTGCATCCCATTTGCCCTCTGTGGACACCTAGTCTTCTCAAACAGAATTTTCATGAGACTTCGTGGATGGTGGAGGGACTGGTGGTCACCAGCAGAGAGGACCCTCAGGACTTCTAGCAGGCCTTGACTCCCAGCGCTGCTGTTATCCTGAGTGAGGGCTTTGTCAGTCTCAGTAGAGAAAACAAGGCTGACGAGGCAGGACAGCTGTAGCACCGTCAACACTGAGAGACTTGTCCCGAAGCACATGTCCACCCTTCCTTTGGCTTGAGTTAACCTGGGGTGGGAGCTACAGCACAGGAGAACTTAGAACCAACCGAAGGAATTTCTGTGGTGGAAAGGGAAAAGTAAAGGCTTCAGTTACTGTGCCTGCCACACGTTAGAAAGGACTCACTAATTGGGTGGTTAAGTCGATTTGCAGTGGCAACAACCCGGCGTCTGTATGGAGCATGTAACCCCAAAGACCAGCCAGGAAACTTCCCAACTCACAGTAGCCAGGACACCGGACCGACACTAAATGCAAATAGTCAAATGGTGAGAAGAGGGTGCATCTGCCCTGTGTACAGGCAGTGCCTGGCACAGGACCTGGAGTGAGACACCACCAGAGAAAAAATAAACAGTGAAGTCAGTGAAGAGAAAATGACTTCTAACACATTTCCAGTATCACACTGAATTAGAATCTTTCAAGAGGACAATTTACTAGGAAAAAAAAAAGATGTTACATCTGGGAAACACTAGTTAGTTTTAGCTAGTAGAAACCAAGACTCTGGAAAATGAAATATGTTAGAAAAACAATAATATTTCAAGACTCCAGGAGGATGACAGATCTACCTACTCAACAGTCTCTGAGGGGATGAGAAAAGACTTCAGAATCAATCAGAATTTACGGAGAAAAAATCTTCAGTTGATTGTTTAAGGAGTGTAAAATGTTAACAGCATCTCTTGTAGGATCCAGAGATGAGCCAATAATGACCTTGAGGGTAATAACAAGATCCTGAAATTATTTTTATCATCACAAAACCAGTTTCAGACTATTATGTTAGCATTTACAAAAAGTTAGAGAGTGACACAAACCTTTGAAAACCCAGCACTTACCTCTAGAAAGAGAGATGGTTATTTATCTTGAGCTCCCTGGGCCTTTAAATCTCTGAGAGCATTTTCTGGTTCCAAAGTTCTGTTTTTAAAATTCCTTGACTGTGCTCTGGGAGCTGGAGAGGATTATTTCAGCCCAGGGACATTTCTAGTTGCTATGGAGAGGGCTGTTCAGAAGGTAAAAAACGAAGGTGGATAAAAGCGGATAGTTTCTGGCTGACAGATTTTCAGGATAATCAAATAAATGTGGTTAAGGAATTATCCTTTTATATTTATCATTTTATATTAACAGTTAGCACAATATTTTGGAATTATCTACAGTCATTTGCTTTTCAAGGAACAAAATCTAGGTCAAAAAAATTCTACCTTACAAAGTGAAAGAGATTTAGTGTTTGGGAAGGCATTCTCTTGACCAGCTAACAGCTGTTTCACCCAGGCTTAAACCAAGAGTTGCTGGAGAGATTGGACTTTCAAAGCTTCCTCTCCTAGGCTGCAAATGTTTACAGGATGTAAGTATTCCATAAACAGCATCACTAGATACAAATGGGGGACTCTGTGCTAATCACACATTGAATATGAAAACTGAGACAATCACCAAAGAAAGATTGTGGGGATGATGGACATTTGAGAAAAAAAAATAGTCTCAGAAAACACCACAGTTATATTTACATGGTTTTGTCTCAAATTGCAAAGAAAGGGACCCATCCTTTTTCTCACCAGCACCCTGGCGATATTAACTGGAGTTAAAGGCTGGACTCAGTCAAGAAGCAAGGCGTTAGAGTAAAGTTAATACTCTCAATCTGAGGGTTCAGAAGGAGCTGAGGAACTGGGAGGCTGTGGGCTTCACACTATAGAGCACTAGACCAAAACTACTAAAGTCATGTGCTCATCTCCAGTGGGCTGTCCATGCAGTAGGAACCACAATGTAAAAGCTTAGCCTCCCCACTCTCAAGAGCTTGGTTAAAAGGCCACTAAAGAAATAATCGTTCACTACTTATGCAATAAATTAGCTGGTCCTAATCTCCTCACTAATCAATCCAGTTATAAGGAACAGATCCTCAAATACAGCCAACTCCCACAGCATAACCTGTCCCATTGCTCCAAGACTAGTTTCTGATTTGCTCTGTCTAGCACTCTCAAGACTATGGCCTTCATAGAGCATTTTCACCAGCTCCCTTGTTCCTTTTAACCAGTGTTCAGCCTGAAAGTCATACATAGTCTCTTGTCCTCTGACTCAGGAGTGTAGCTGACACTCATTATGTTCACCCTGCCTGTTTCCCCAGAAATCTTGAAATTAATCTTTCTTAGATATGTTTCCCTTTTTTGTTTGTTTGTTTGGGTTTTTGTTTTTGAGACAGGGGTTCTCTGTGTAGCTTTGACCATTCTGGAGCTCATTCTCTAGACCAGGCTGACTTTGAACTCATTGAGATCCACCAGCCTCTCTGTCTTCCAAGTGCTGGGATTAAAGGAGTGCACTACCACCACAATCACTATCATCTGGATTAAAATATTTTGTTTGTTTTGTTTTGGAGGGGTATTTCCATTTTCAATCCAGACTAATTTCCAGGCAGTGAACTTCATGTGTTTATTATCTGCATAAAATAGGAGATAATTTACTTCTGATTAAAAAATATTTGGCCCACATTTTGGACTCATCTTGTCTGATGAAGTACTTCCTAATTCATAGATGCTGGTTTGTGCTAACATAGAAGGCTATAGTGGAAAGGGGGGCTGATTCTTACTGACTAGTTTTCTTTCATTCAGTTCTTTGCTTTCTTATGTGTCCTGAGCTTCAAACATCTGCCATACAGTATATTTACACATGTTCTGTAAACAATAAAGAACTTAAAGGGACCTCTTAAAATGTAAGAGAGCAGTGATTTAAGATGAGACTCAAACAAGGCTCAAGACATCCTGGAGGTACAGTCCTGGGTGCCATGTAGTCATCCAGGTAAGCCACTCTAGGGACTGAGTCTCACTTCCATAATAATCCTGAATTCTTTATGTATTATGACAGATTTTAAGGCATGTAGATATCTTGAGGCTTCTGATAATTCACACATTATGCACTTTGATCTAATGCCAAGGCAGGAAATGTATCTCTTCCTGGGCACCCAGTTGTCCATTATTACTACATACTGTATGTATGTTTATTACTACATACTGTATGTATGTTTCCACTCTTATTTGGGATATTATGCTTATGCAAAATGTAATTTTTAAATGTAATTAAAGAATACAGGTTATCAGTGAGTCATCTATAATAATCAACTTGTAATCATATTGGGTATATAGGTTTTCCACATTATATAGATGGTCTTCAAACACTTCAAAGACCTATAGAATATAGCATTTAAAATGGTTTGATAATATAAGACCTTTTTTTGACAGTCAGGCACATCTGCTCCTGGCAGCGCCTATCTGCTTCAGAGAACATGATGGGCATCAAAGAAACTACATATGGAGTTTGCTTTCTTTGTGACAAAAGCTAGCCACTGGGCAAGAAACTGCCATATCTCAATTCCTGACAGTATGCTGTCCAAATTGGACAAGCAAGACACAAAAGGAAGGGACTGCTGAACTTTGCCAAAACAAGTCAGAACAGTCCTTTAAAATTCCTGCTTCGCTGAAGTCTGTCAAGTATACTGGGCCTGGAGGCCAAGTTGGATGCCTCAACTTTGCAGAAGAACTTTGAGTGACTGTCCACCCTGGTAATATTTTATTAAGTAATATTTCACTCTTTGGGGTCCTTGATGGAGTTGAAGACTAGATAGTCATAGTCAAAGTTTTCCTTAGTATTATAAAAAGTAAGTTAGGCATTAAAATTTTGACTCACAAAGATAAGATAAATGATAGAGTATTTCTCTAATTTTGCCAAATACAAATGGATTGGATATCTTACTTGATAACTGTTTTTGTTGTATATAATTTTACTATATTAAAATTAAAACCTTCCTTTTTAATTAGGCATAAAGGGAGGAATACTGTCTAACAATCTTTGTACACTGTAAATATGTATTACTTTCACTGGTTAATAAAGAGCTTACTGGCTTATAGCTAGGCAGGAGAGACAGACAAGAGAATTCTGGGAACAAGAAGGACAAAGTCAGAAGAGCCACCAGGAGACACAGAGGGAGCAAGACGTGCTGTGGGACAGGCAAAGCCATGAGCCATCTGGTAGCACATAGATTAATAGAAATGGGTTAATTTAACTTGTAAGAGCTAGTTAGTAATAAGCCTGATCAATTGGCTGAGCATTTATAAATAATAAGCTTCCATGTGGTTATTTGGGAGCAAGTGCTGAGACACAGATGAACTTTACCTATAGATGCCTTCTTTTGGCCTCTGTGGACACCTGTACACACATGGTTCACATACATATAATCAGGCACACACACACACACACTAAATCTTAGAAAGACCAGCAAGCCACTGTGACATACACTAATTGTGTGACCTTGAGCATTTCTGAATAGTACAGTGAGGATTTTTGAACATTTAACATTTCTTTTTCATTATAAAAATGATGGCATAAAAGATGTTTGGTTAAAAAAAGGACCACTATCAGAAATGACATCTAGAAGGACAAGCATTTTGAAAAGAAGGAAGTAGGCAGCCAAAGTGAACAGGGGGAGAATGTGGCCTAGAAGTATCTCATAGATGTGAGATCCCTCTAGTATAACTATTCTCCAGTTTCTTCATGTGGGCACTTAGTGCTATGAACTTCCCCCGTAGCGCTGTTTTCAAAGTGTCCCATAGGTTTGGGTATGTTGTGTCTTCATTCTCATTGAATTCGAGGAAGTCTTTAATTTCTTTTTTTATTTCTTCTTTGACCCAGGAATGGTGCAGTTGTTCATTATTCAATTTCCATGAGTTTGTAGGTTTTCTGCAATTTGTGTTGTTGTTGAATTCTAATTTTAAAGCATGGTGGTCTGATAAGATGCATGGAGTTATTCCAATTTTTTTGAAGCTGCTGAGGTTGGATATGTTGCCAAGTATGTGGTCGATTTTTGAGAAGGTTCCATGTGGTGGTGAGAAGAAGGTATATTCTTTTTTATGTGGATGAAATGTTCTATAGATGTCTGTTAATCCCAGTTGGGTCATTACTTCTATTAGACCCTTTGCTTCTTTGTTGAGTTTCTGTCTGGTATTCCTGTCTAGTGGTGAAAGAAGGGTGTTGAAATCTCCCACTATAAGTGTGTGGGGCTTTATATGTGATTTAAGTTTTAGTAATGCTTCTTTTACAAATGTGGATGCCTTTGTATTTGGGGCATAGATGTTCAGGATAGACACTTCATCTTGGTGGATTTCGCCTGTGATGAGTATGTAATGACCTTCTTTATCTCTTTTGATTGATTTTATTTTAAAGTCTAATTTGTTAGATATTAGGATTGCTACCCCTGCTTGTTTCTTGGGTCCATTTGATTGGAAAATTTTTCCCCAACCTTTAACTCTCAGGTAATGTCTGTCTTTGAGGGTGAGGTGTGTTTCTTGTATGCAGCAGAAGGAAGGGTTCTGTCTTCAAATCCATTCTGTTAGCCTGTGTCTTTTTATGGGTGAGTTAAGGCCATTAATGTTGAGGGATATTAATGACGATTGATTGCTCATTCTTCTTTGATTTGGAATGGTTGTTGGTGGTCAAATTATGTGTAGAATTTCACCCCTTCGTTCTTTTGGCTGTTGGTAGAGAGGGATTCTCTAATACCTATGTTTTTCTGGTTGTAGTTAACTTCCTTGGGTTGGATTTTTCCTTCCAAAACTTTCTGTAGGGCTGGGTTAGTTGACACATATTGATTGAATCTAGTTTTGTCATGGAATATCTTGTTTTCTCCGTCTATAGTGATTGAGAGCTTTTCCGGGTATAGTAGTCTGGGCTGGCATCCATGGTCTCTTAGTGTTGGTAGAATATCTATCCAGGACCTTCTGGCTTTCAGAGTTTCCATGGAGAAGTCAGATGTAACTCTGATAGGTCTGCCTTTATATGTTACTTGGCCTTTTTCCTTAGCTGCTCTTAATATTCTTTCTTTATTCTGTATATTTGGGGTCTTGATTATTATGTGGCGAGGGGACTTTTTTGTGGTCCACTCTATTTAGTGTTCTGTAAGCTTCTTGTACCTTCATTGGCATGTCTTTCTTAAGGTTGGGAAAGTTTTCTTCTATGATTTTGTTGAATATGCTTTCTGCCCCTTTGAGGTGGTTTTCTTCTCCTTCTTCTATACCTATTATTCTTAGGTTTGGTCTTTTCGTGGTGTCCCATATTTCCTGGATGTTTTGTGTTAAGGATTTGTTGGACTTAAGGTTTTCTTTGGTTGATGAATCCATTTCTCCTAGTGTGTCTTCAACACTTGAGATTCTCTCTTCCATCTCTTCTATTCTGTTGGTAATGCTTGTATCGGTAGTACCTGACTGTTTGCCCAGCTTTTCTATTTCCTGCCTTTCTTCAGATTGTGTTTTTTTCTAATTGTCTCTATTTCAGTTTTCAAGCCTTGCACTGTTTGCATTGTTTCTTGCAATTTTCGGTTTATCTTTTCGTCCATTTGTTGTCTTTTATGATTTTTTTGGTTTGTTCTTTCTTCCATTTCTTGCATTTTTTGCTTTGCTTTTTCTTCCATTTCTTGCATTTTTTCCTTTGCTTTTTATTCAAATTCTTGTAATTTTTGGTTTGTTTTTTCTTCCATTTCATGCCTTTTTTTGGTTTGTTTCTTCTTCCATTTCTTTCATTTTTTGCTTTGTTTTTTCTTCCATTTCTTGCATTTTTTGCTTTGTTTCTTCTTCCATTTCATGCCTTTTTTGGTTTGTTTCTTCTTCCATTTCTTTCATTTTTGCTTTGTTTTTTCTTCCATTTCTTGCATTTTTTGGTTTGTTTTGTCATTTCTTTGAGGGATTTTCCTTTATCCTCTTTTAGGGCCTCCATCATTTTCATGAAAGTGGTTTTAAGGTCATTCTTTTCTGCTTCATTTGCCTTGGAATGTTGGAATCTTACTGGTGTGGAGTCTCTAGAATCTGGTGGTGATATATTTGTTTTTCTGTTGTTGAGTGTGTTTTTGTATTGTCTCTTTCCCATCTCTTCTTCTAGTGGGTGCAGAAAGAGCCCCTTACTGGTCCGGTGGTTAGGGGACCAGAGTTCCCTTTTGGTGGGTGCTAGGAAGTCCAATAATCTGGTAGTTCTTCTATCCCTTGTCCTCGTTCTGGTCCCGTGGGTGGAGAAGACCAGGAATCTGGGGTGCTTAGCCTCCCACCTGGTCCCCTGGACCTTTTGCTGGATCTGCTGGTTTCCTGGTCTCGTTGGTGGGAGAGAAAACCTGGAATCTGGGGTGCTTGGCTCCCACCAGGATTGGAAACTCTGTGCAGTTCCCAGGTGATCCCCAGGCACTGGAACACAGGCCCCGATGCAAGGCCTGTTGTACCTGGTCCCACCGGAACAGCTGGTCCCCTGGTCTCCCTGGATCCACTCTAAAGATATTTTTTTAATGTTTGAGTGGGTAAAATATGTATATATGTCTTGTAGTTCTAGGTTTATTTATTTTTATGTCTGTAGTCATGATTTCAGGGAGGGCTTCCCTGATCAAACCCAATTTTCTTTAACCCAGAATGAATCCATAGCTTCTCATTTCCTGTGGAAATAAAAACATAACCTCTTCCCCATTGTAACAGATCTTTTGACTTCCATTTTGAAGCAAGACATTTTCAAATTATATAGGTTGTCTTAATCCGGCAGCTTCCATAATCCAATAGCATCTGATTTTCCTTCATCAACAATCAGAAAATCTAAAGATGACACAATAACATACAGAATCCAGACTCTATGTGTATTTTCTAACTTTATGTGGCTTATTTATCCTGCACTTACTCTTTGTTCTTTTAATGAAAAAATATATATCTGAGTTCACTGTTTAGCTACAGCATTATCTCAGTTTTTTTAGACCTGTGTTGCTTTACCTTGTATGATGCATATTTGTCATCTTGAAAGTTTGCTTCTCAGAGAACTGAGAAAAAAATATACTATTCCTGTTACTCTTTGAGTTGCTGACTGTCATCTTTGGAGTTTAGGGTAAGACCAATAAACTTCCATTTTGGAGAAAGCAATTTCAGGTTTTTCACTGATTTCAGTCAAATGTCAATCCAAGTACAGCTTGATGCAACAATGATATGACTTGCCATATTTTTTATAATGCTGTTTTTTCAAGTGGCATTTTTAGGCACAGGGGAAACTAACAAAAACAGAAAGTTGGTATTAGAAGAAGTAGTGGGTGCCTTCAATTTCACAGTAACAGTCTGAATCACTAGGAATGAGTCTACATAATCAAGGCCTGTCCTGGATTTCTTTAAGACAAATTAACATGAAATAAATCACAACAATGGGCATGACTTACCTCACCATCTCTGTGGGTAAGGAATCCTCTGTTTCAAGGTATGTCACAAGTTGCAATATTTTTAGCCAGGGCTGGTTTTCTTTGGAAGACTTGTCTAAACAGGGGTCCCCTTTGAAACAACAAAAAAGTGTTAGCAAATTATGGAGTTTAATCAGAGAAGGATTTACATTGAATTGGTTAAAGGCAAATCATTGGTTCCACTCACACTTGAAGTGATACCATATGGTCCAGCTTGCCAAGAAGATATTTAGGGCCATGACATACCAAGGGCAGAAGGGTAAGAAATTGTAAGTTAATACAATATCCAAATGAGCATTTTTGTCATCCATGGCCCTTCCTGATGGGATAAAGAAGGTGGCATTTATGTAATCTCTTGACCATATTCCAACTTTACCCATTTTTAAATCCCCTGGATTAACTGCAAATATCAACAAAAGATAGACTTAACTTTTTTATTTTTTCATTTTGGTTGTGAACATAGCCTTTAATGGCTGAGCCATCTCTCCAGCCCCTTTTTTTATTTATTCATAATCATTAGTAATCAAATGAAACATTGGGGATGTTCTCTTTTTTCAAAACAATTAATCTTATTTGCTTGATCCTTCACATTTCACAACCTTTTGCAAGTCTCTTTTGAGCTAGAGAGATACTTCAGTTGGCAAAGTGCTTTCTGCACAAGCACCAGCACAAGGATTTGAGTGTTAGCTCAACAAAAAGCTATAAATGGCAGTGTACCTATAATCCAGAGCCAGGGAAGCAGAGCCAGAATATTCCTGGACGTTCTGGCTAGCAGTCTCACCAAATGAGAGTTTCAGGTTCAATAAGGAGCACTATCTCTAAAAGTAAGATGGAATATGATTGAAACATCATCAACATCTTGCTTACAAATGAATGTGAACACTCATACATACAAAGAGAGACAGATACACACACACACAGAGAGAGAGAGAGAGAGAGAGAGAGAGAGAGAGAGAGAGACTCCAGATATTCCAGAATATCCATGAACACACAGGTATGCACCACCACACTGTCTTAAAATTAATACTTTATGATTTGAAAATTAAGCACATGAAGATTTATATGGTTTAGATGTAGTATGCCCCCCAGGGGATCATTACTAGCAGTTTGGTCCTAGAGTGGGATACTAACATTAGGAGATGAAGTGAAACCTTTAAGAAGTTTGGTCTAGTAGGAGGGACTTAGTCCATGGGAGTTCTTGGAAGAGTGGATGGTTGTCATGGAACTTATCTTAGTTACTTCTTTGGTTGCTATGATAAGAAAAAAACTGACAAAAGTAGTTTAAGGAAGTAACACTTTGTTTTTATTCATAGTTTTAAGTCTCTAACTTTGAACCTCCAGAACTGTCATCTAAATGAAAATTTTTATACACCCATTTAGCCTGCCTAAGGCATTTCATAGTAATAAAAAAGACTGATATAATCAAACATGACTTTATTTCTCAGAACAAAACTTTGACATTTTTACAATGTTCTTAGAAAAAATAGAATTCTTATTCTTTTTAAAACTTCTAAATTGATTAATGGACATGTAACTTGCATTAAAATGATTACAATTCAAATAGCATTTAAAATAAGGACACATATTTAATTGTAAAAGCTTGGCCAATAGCTCAGGCTTACTACTAACTAGCTCTTACATTTCAAGTTAACCCATATTCTTTATTTATGCTATGCTACATGACAAGGCACATTCACCTCCTTCTCCTTGCCCTTCTCCTTCCCATTATCCTTAGTCTGGTTGCCCCACCTATACTTCCTTTCTGGCTATTGGCCAATCAGCATTTTATTAAACTAATTCGAGTGTCAAATCTTCACAGTAAACACGAGGATTATTCCACAGCATTTTGAGAGGACATGAGCCAGGAGAGACAGACAAGGGCTATTACAGGCCCTGCTAATAGCCCTCCCAGAGACCAGGCCATAGTTTCACGAACCAGCTGGAGTTGATCAAGAAAGTCTCAGGGAAAACCACAACTCAGGAGCAACCAATCACCAGGTGCCCCCTTGGCCTTCTTCTAACTCAGCAGATGACCACAGTCTTCTGCTAGCTCAAGCAGATGATCAGCTTTCCTTGCCTTGCTGTTGGAAAGTCCCTAACCACTAGAGACACCTACCCACCAGCCCCCAAGACTAATTTATCCTTCCTGAAATTCCCCTAACCTGGTCTAAAAGGAGGGCCTTCAAGCTTCTTGGGTTGTTGCCATGTACCACTCCAACATGTTGGAAATTTTTTAAGTACTTTTGCTGATTGCATACATGATGGTAGTCTTTTATGGAGACTTCTCATGAACCCTTACACATTTCCCCCTTTTTGTCTAATTAAAAAGGAAATTTTTAACTTTAACATGTTAACAGTATATACAACAAAACAGTTATTAAATAAGAATTATAGTAACAATATCTAGTCTATTATTAGTATTTAGTAAAATTAGAGAAAATATTCTATTATCTATTTTATTTTTGTGACTTTATAAAGTTTTACATCTAACTTACCTTTTGTCATAACTAAGGAAAACTATAATTATAACTATCTAGTCTTCAACTCTATCAAAGTCCCCTGAGGATTGAAACGTTACTTAATGACAGAGACATCAGGACACCTGGATAGTCACCTTCTGTGAATTTAGGACATCCAGCTAAAATAGCTGACATACTTTCCTGTGAAGCAGGGAATTTTGAATGACTGTCTTACCTTGAAGGATACTTTTTAAAAGTTCAAGCTCAAATATTACTAAGAAAGAATGATTCAACACTATGCTAATTAAGTTAATGGCATGAATGTATATTCTACCAAATAAATTGTTCAAAGCTTATTATTCATGGGATCCATGAAAAGTGATGTTTCCAGTATCTGAGAAGCTATTACATATAGTTTATGTTTCTTTTGACCTTTATGTGTAATGTCCTGGAGCTTGGTGGTGAATATATGTAATCTCAGCCCTTGGGAGGAATGCTGAGACAGGCAGATAAAAAAATCAAGGCCAATATGGGATACATGGTAAGAATGCAATTAAAAATTACCTCAAAAACACTGAAAAAATATTTACATAGAGAGTTATATAAACCATATATATATTAAATCTTTTATGGTCAAATAATTGTGTATTAATAAAGTATTAATCATAACTGCCTACTGATGCTTGAAACATACAGAATATTGTATTTCTCACACTTCCAAACTTTGATTTTTAAATGTATATAATTTTACATAGTCCAAAAAGTAATTGTCACTTTTTTCGAGGGAAGACTAAACTAAATCAACAGTTTATTTTTAATAAAACAATGTACTTATTTTAGTTTTAGAAGTCTTCCTCTTAAAAATTTGGTGGGCGCCATAATTTATAAGCCTAATGATAATGATAATTGTACTTCGAAAAATAATTTCCTATTGTGTGCGGAACTCCACTAGAGTAAAATATTCTTTGGAAATGAATTTTAAGTATACCTGACCTTAAATCAGGCCACAATGATAGCAAAATACTGTTGATACTTGAGCTGGGTCTTAGAAGAAGTAAAAATCTGTATGTTTGAAGACAAAGAGTACTGTCTTCAAGTTGGACCCAACAAGTGCCCTCTGTCCTTATGACACTTTTGTATCTGGCACATTTATGCCCCCCCCCGTACGTGTGCTTATCATATTCCAATTGTTATCAAAGTTCAGCGGTGTTATTCTAGAAGACACACCCCCCACTTAAGCCCTGTGACAGTTACTATCAACTGTCAACGTGACAAGATCGAGATTTCCCAGGAGAAAAACCTCTGGTCATGTCTATGATAGATATCTCTATTGGATTAACTGAATTGGGAAGACTTACCCTAAATGCAAGTGGCACCATTCTGTGGGTTGAGTGCTAGAAGGCATAAAGCAAGCAGGTGAGTTGAGCGCGAGCTTCCATACCTCTGCTTCCCGACTGTGGAAACAGAGTGGCCAGCTGCCTCCAGCTGCTGCTGCTGCTATGCCTCCCACGTGAACCATGATGGGCTGTACTCTCACACTGTGAGTGCAGATAAACCCTTTCTTCCTGAAGCTGCAGGTGACAGGTATCTATCAGCCCGATGAGAGTAGTAGCTGATGCAGGCTCTACCTCTTTGGTTCCTTCTCTAAGCCAGCATCCCTTGCTTTTGGGGGATTCCATGAGATTATACTAGACTAAAATGACCCACTGTCCCCTAGTCTCCTAAGCCTTTAAGTTTCTATTTCTTTCAAGACCAAGTTCAGATATCACTTCAAATCAGAGCATTTTATTAAGGAACTTATCTCTCCAGCCTTGATTCTTTTGGCCAAGGAAACAGAAACCTGTTAAACGGTGATCTCAACAGTATAGTTATCATGGAGGTTCAGGCCCTCTCAAATGTCTGGCAACAGAGAACTAGTTAATTTATGGTACATCTTTTCAGTTGGCCACCATGCAGCCAATTAACCAAGTCATTTTATAGGTATTCATAAAATATAATTTTAAAAGCTAGCTTTTGGGAAAAATAAGGCATATATTTTTGCATTTGTATAAAATAACAATGGGAGGAAGTATATATTGCTTTTTTGCTATATATAGGAGTTTATGTGCATGTAAATGCTATTGTTTTAACCTCTATATTTTCCAGAGACATACTGTACATATGTATCTGTATAGGAGTACATACAGAGGTATGTATAAATGTACATAGTATTGACCTAGGACAAAATAGATTGAACTGGCATATTTTTTTCTAACTGATACCACTTAAGCTGCTGTAACTTCAGTCGAAGGCATTTGGCCTGACTTTCTCTATGGCAGGAACTATAAAGACTCTTGCATGAGATGTCCTTCCCACACCAAGGCTAAAAAACTGGCTGTGGACACCAGAGACTATGAATGTGACTGCAACAGATATAAATAAACAAACTCTGAAGTGGCCCTTATCTTCCACTAGCTTCTAACACTCCTCCACCCATCTTTTAGTAACATCCCCAGAATTTATTTTCTAGTCCAGTTATTTATTTGGCCTGCTCTTCCTTCACAAATTTATTATTGTTTTTTGTCTGAAAAATGTAAAAGCATCCATCGTGCTTTGGTCATTTCTTTGGACTTCACTCTTCTGTAAGGATCCCTGTGCTATGAGAAAAACTCTGAGTGTTTTCTCTTTGTAAGTCAGTTCCTGACTTATGTGGGTTCCCAAACAAAGCCAAAGAGCCTACACGGAGTTAAAGGGAGGGAATAGTAGAGGGAATTTCTTCCTCTCTACCCTCCAATGTGTCATCCATTTGTTCACGATTCTGAGCTTGAGGAAGTTGATGGAGATAAGAACAGCACTGGATGAGATTCTGCCTTTGCTGTTGTCAGGGCTGACGGCTTTAGAAAAATACAGCGGAAAGCCTTTAGTAAGTACCACGCTAGTCCCCGGGCCATTCCTACCTTGAGGAGCAAGATGTGGAGGGTGTCCTGCTCACCCCACTTCAGGACATTCTTGCTCTTGATGCTGTCTCCGGTTGACACTGGCCCTTGCTTTTAGGTTGTTCTGGCCTTTGCTTTGGCTCCACCTCATGGCCAGTTTCTCTCTGTCCTGACCCATTCTTTCTTCCACTTGTCGGAGAAAAGAAACTCACACAGATAAAAGACCTTGTTCTCCTATCATATTTTTTCATTTTTTTCTTTCAAGGTTATCTTGATTACTTGAGAGACCTAGCTTTATTACTGGGAGCCCAACCATCAAGGCTCAAATTCTGTCTCTGCTACTGGGCTATTAGGATAAGCTACATGATAATCCTGAATTTTCTGTGAAGGTGACTGTCTTAGTCACTATTCTGTTGTTGTGAAAAGACACCATGACACAGACAACTTATACAAGAATGCATTGGCTGGAGAGACAGCTCAGCGGTTAAGAGCATTGACTTCTCTTCCAGAAGTCTTGAGTTCAATTCCCAGCAACCACATGGTGGCTCACAGCCACCTGCGGTGAGATCTGGTGGCATATTTTGTCCTACAGGGACACACACAGGCAGAACACTGTATACATAATAAATAAATCTTCCTTTAAAAAGAAAGTAAGCATTTAATTGGAGATTTGCTTACAGTTTCAGAGGGTAAGTTCCATAACCATAATGGTGAGGGCATGGCAGTGGGGGGCAAGGGGCAGGCATGGTGCTGGAATGGTAGCTGAGAGCTTGCATCTTATCTCTAAGTTGGAAGCTAACAGAGGGATACTGGGCCTGGTGTGGGCTTTTGGAATCTCAAAGCCCATCCCCAACAAAGCCATACCTCCTAATGCTTCCTAAACAACCTACCAAGTGGGAACCAACCATTCAAACATATGAGTCTATTGGAGGGGTATTTTTCATTTAAGTCACCACAGTGACAATAGAAATTGATCTTCAGGCACAGGGTCAAGCCAGCCCAAATTTAAGCATGGTTAAGGAGAGGCTAATGGATTCTCACCCAGCAAAGGAGCTACTGTTAGTTGATAGCTGCTGAAGATAGGAGGGAGGATCAGATTTCTTCATTGATACAGCCCCTGGAAGGGGCACCAGTAGATGGTCCTACATTCATTCACATAAAAACAGCACTAAGAAGAAGAATTGTGGGTTTAAAAAGAACAAAACAACAACCAGGAAGTTGAAATTGGGAAGGAAAAATGATAGTGTGATAGGAAAAACTTGGAAAGGAAGGAATGTAGATTTTATTAAGATGTTATATGTATATGTATGTATGAAATTCTCATACAATGAAATTGAGGAAAGGATATTCACTGCTCTGTGGGAATCCTTAACCCAGTATTGAGGACAGAAAACTTGGGGCAATAAAAGTTAAATTGGCTTTGAACTTTGTAATAACGTGGAACACTCCATGTGAAGTCAATTGGACCACACAGGTTAGGGATGTCCTTGAACAAAATGGTTATCACTGGGCACCAGCTGGCATTTGGCTACAGCTGTCAAGACGTCCTTGGGAGCCACATTGGACCCCCAGAGTAGATCATAGTATATTCTAGCTCATTAATAGACATATCTCCAAGCATAAATATGTCTCCTTATTTGGACTACACAGGCTGTCCTCCGAAGAAAGTGGGAACGTTGAAGAGGCAAGAGCCACATGCCTCCTGGCATGGAAGTTAAATGCTCAACCCATGACTCTCAGATTGTTGTGAGTACTGTCATGCTGTCCTTGAATTTATCTCTTACATACAAGAGTTTCCTAACATGGACATGGAGAACCATTTTCCTTCCTTTCTTCCTTCCTTCCTTCCTTCCTTCCTTCCTTCCTTCCTTCCTGCCTGCCTGCCTGTAGTTTCATCAGTTCTATCCCATTCTCTGTCCCCATTTAAGCCAAATTATATGCATATGTATGCATATATAAATGTACACACATGTGTATACATATAGATTTGTCTATATAGAGAGATGTATTTATATGTGTCTATATCAGATATGCATCCTAGAAAGAAAATTATGAAAAATTGGTCCACAGAATTGTGAAAGCTGAGAATTCCAAGACCTCACTGTAAGTTGAAGACCCAGAGGAGCAGGTGGTAGAATTCAATCTAAGACCCACAAAGCAGAGGAGCATGCCAGTGGTGTGACTCCTAGTCCAAGGACAGTAAAGTCTGATGTCCCAGATCAAACAGCAGAACTAGAAGCAAAGGGTGAATTCATTTTCCTTATCCCTTGGTTCTCTCCAGGCCTTCAATGGACAGGAAAACACCCACCCACACTGAAAGGTGAACCCCACTGTTGTGTCTTCCAGATCTCAGCAGTGTGTGGTAACAGATGCCAATAATCTCAACACTTGGGAGACTGAGCAGGACCTACTGTGCCTTGTTCTACCAAGAACATATTCTCACGTGCTGGGGATCTTAGCCTTTATCTCAGCCTATGTGAGATTTCTTGGCAGGGCTGTTCTCTTGGCTAAACCATTCTGCTTCTTGTGAAGGAGCAAATGTTTTGTAAGCAGTTCTTTGGTATCCTGAGGCTTGGCACTGCACAACACACTTGCTTGAAGACAGTCCAAAAGAACACAGTGGCTTGGACCGTCCAAGGATCAGCTTCAGGAAAGGTGACCTGATACAGCCTCTACACTTACAGCTTATTCTTCTCACTCCTGTCTATGTGCAGAGCCCATGTGTTTGTTGCCCTTCAAGGAAGAAATGTGGCTTTTAAATAAAACAAGGACGTAACAAAACAAACAGGAAAACCGTCCACACTGGGAGGGGGTGTAGAGGGGAGCTTGGGCTTCAGCGGCTCTAGCTGGCCATGGTGCTCAGAACCTGTGCCAGATTCCTTGCTACTTGGCAGCACATTGAAGTCAGCTGCTCAGGCTAAGGTCCCAACTGAGTCTGCTTTCTTTGCGTCCTGCAGGTTTTGCCTGGAGGAGGTATACCCCTGCAAAAATCCAAACAGGAGTCCCACCTGTGATACAGAGGTCACAGGTGCCTGTGACTCATAGCTGACACATTCAACCATGTTGCTATGCGCACTTGAACAGAGGACTGTCAGCTGAGGGTGCAGAGAACATTGAACATGGAAGCAACTGTTCTGAAAAAAGCTTTCATTTCATGACCCACTCTGAGTTATGGTCAGGCTGAGAGGAAGGCTCAGTGGGTAAAGCGATTCCCATGCAAATTTCAGGATCTAAGGTCCATGCCCAGAACCTACATTCTAAAAAGATAGCACACTCTTGTAATTCCGTGTCTGAGGAGGCAGAGACTGGAACTTGTTGACCAACCAGCCCAGTCTACTTGGTGAGTTCCTGATGGGGGAAGTCCTGTGTATATGTCAATAAAGCACTGTTGGCCAATAGGGAAGCAAGATATGTGGGACTAAGAGTCCAGGAGGACTCTGGGTAGGAGAAACACGGGGAGTCAAGATGTAACCCCCATAGGGATAAGAAGCCGGGAAACTTCTCCGGTAAGAGAAATACTTAGATTAACAATTATGGGATAAATACTTAAGTCAGAGCTAGCCAGTAAGAAACAAGCAAGGCCAACAGCTTCATAATTAATACAGCCTCTTGTGTGTTATTTGGGGACTACAAACACAGCAGAGCCCAGGCGACTGACGGGGGGGAAAAACCAAGCCACTGGCAAGGAAAAGGCTTCTCTTTACAAGTTCCAGTCTCAAAAAAGAAAAAAAATGGACAACACCCAAGGAACAAACAATATCTCTGATAGACCTCTTTAACCTTCCCACGTGTCTGTGCACACCACACTCACACAAGCATACATACAAAAGTAATAAAAGGAGATCAGAACTTGTTATAAGACCCAAATTCAGGAACAAAAAAGCACAGATGGGATTAGTCCATCTCTCTGTTGAGAGAATTGCCCAGGGGGTCAAACCTTATCAGCTAAATAAATGCTTCTATTCAAAGAAGCAGGTTCCTACAGAACATCAACATTTTCCCACTGGACACTTAAAATCCTCCTTTGCCCCACCATGTAGGAGGCAGGACCTCTGACTTTGGAATCAATCACTAGGGAGGTGTATGGCAAAGAAGGATTGTATAGAATCCTATGAGGCTACATGTTACTACTGCCCCCAGCACTTGATGAGCACCCAATCAGTTACTGTATTATAGCAAATGAAGGCAGAATTTCCTTCAAAATGTGTATTGCCATTTCTAAGAAGTTGGCGTGGCTTCAGCTTCTGCCTTTTTCTTTTTAATAGAGAATAAAGCTGTGTTAACAAGATGTGTTCATTCTGTGCTCTCAGTACAGAAGTTCCTGCTTCCTTCCTTTTAGAAGATGATCAAAGTGACCCAATGAGTCTGAAATTCTCATGAGGTCAGCATCATGATTGGGACACACTTCAGTCTAATCATCAATAAGGTAGAGATAGGGCTGCTTTTACAGGGACGTAAGTTCTGCCCGAGAACTACAGAATACCTTACCATTCTTAATGGTGCTGATGACAGGGACCTGGGAACAATCCAAGAAAGTGAAGAATCTCAAGGGAAACATGTCATGCTACTAGTTTTGTATCACTATACCATAATACCTGAGACTATTACTTTATAAAGAAGAAAAAGTTACCACATGTAGTACCCCATGTTTGTAATCCCAATATTCAAGAACTGAGACATAAGGACCATGACAATCTAAGGTCATAATAAGCTACATAGAAGTTCTGGGATAGCCTGGGTTACACAAGACTTTGTCTCAAAATGGGGGGGGAGGGGGAGAAAGAGACTGAGGAAATAGAGGGAAACAAAGGGAAGCTGGAAGGAGGAAGGAGCATGGTGTTAGAGGTTCCAGCCTATGACTAAGCAGATCCATTGCATGGGGGTACTGTTCTATTGCTGTGAAGAGACACCATGACCAGGACAACTCTTATGAAAGAAAGCATTTAATTAGGAGTTTGCTTACAGTTTCAGAGGGTAGTCTATTATCATCATGGCAGTATACAGGTGGACATGGTGCTGAAGTATCTGAAAGTTCTATATCCTGATCCATACACACACAGAGAGAGAATCTGGAACTAGC